TGTGGACCTCCATTTTGTCCCCATAAGGGAGGTGAGTCCCCACACGTGACTGTGTAAACAGGTTTAGGTCCCGACAAGTATAGTAATGCTAGGCCACACACACACACTCCCATATATTTTTCAGTACCACTGAAAAATATATGGGAGTGTGTGTGTGTGTGTGTGTGTGTGTGTGTGTGTGTGTGTGTGTCCTCTCTTTTCTTCTTGAGTACTTTACCCCTTTCTCCTCATCCACATGTTTCAAAGTGAACCTTTTCTAAACATCCCAATCCTTATGTTTTAGATTGCATCAAAGACAGGTAGGAAGATGTTACAGAGCATGAGGTAGGGAAGCTCATAAAACTAAACTTAAAGAAAGAAAAATAACAAGACATCAGGTGTGCAGCACGGATGTATTGGCTGTTAGCTAGTAGGCACCGCCCTTAACCCTTCAGCTAACTCTCACCCTTTCAGCTGCTTTCTTGTCACATTATTTGTCGTGAGAATACAGAAGATGCACAAAACCACACAACCATTACGGTCATTACTGTTACTGTTCCTCCTCCAGGGCAGAACGTTTTTCTTTTATTTGTTGCTATTGCATAAGGCACAGAATGCATTTGGCCTGTTTCTTCCTTTTAGCTCTCACTTGAATTCCTCCCAAAGCATTTTATGGCCTTCATCCTTGAGATATATTTTAGGTAGGATAATTGGAGCCAAATTCTGAGAGAAATCTATGTGTTTTCATTTTCAGATTATCTGTTCTTTTTCATGCATACAGTACTCCTTTTGATATGATGTGTGTTTTCTTCAGGAGTCTCATTGTGTGAGCCTCTGTTAGTTGCTCTTCCTCTGGTTTTCCTAAAACTTGCATTTCAGCAGAATAAGTGCAGGGGTAAACAGCTGGTAATAATGCTGTGTCGTGCTCGCTGCAGGGATGACAACAGCCTTTTCCAAACGGCTGCCCACGCTGGAGTGCTGCATTTGGTTTAATGACTCTGCTGGATACCCTTAATTACTTATTGTGGAGCATGAATACAAGACATCCAATAAATGGTTCTATACAGCCGCGGCAATATGTTTGTGCGAGTTGTTTTGTTTTGAAAACATCAGATCTTTTCACTAGCCTACTATCAAGTTGATTAAGCGTTATATAAAACAGTTGTAAAACAGTAGTGGCACATTACTATAAATGTAATTTTCTGAATGGTTTTCTCATCTTTATACTTTACTTCCTGTTACAACCATGTGGGCCATCTGGCCTGTGAATGTGAGGATGGGATTTTGGAAAGGTGTGTGTGAGCGTGGAGGAAGCAGAGCCTGAAGCGAGGGAGGAGAGAGGACACAACTCAATCCGCACAGATTAATTTTCAATTGATGTCTTTGTCAGAGAATCAGAGTCATCTCTTTCCCCAGATTAAACTATGACCGCTTCGAAAGGACGGGTAGTTTAAGGGATGGGGTGCAAAATCATTCTGTGACAAGATATTTGACCTTAAAATAAAAAGGATGAATCCCCTTTTCCATATTAAGGGTCTTTTCCTTATCCCTCTTTATGTGTAATTTGATATCTGCGGAGAGGCCTCTGTTCCAAACTCTCATTTTGGGGGATTTTATTTATTTTGATGGTGATATCAGGAATTATGTAACTCTAAGTTTTGTTTGGCTGCACGTGTAAACTTGGCTGGCTAAATAATGGCGTGTTTCTTCATAACTGTAACTGGAGGCCAGATGAACGTCACTCTTCAGCTGCTTTTTCGCTATTAGGAGCAAGCTGCATTCAAGAACTAAGCCAGCGTCCGTGCCTAATAATCATCCCTTTGAGTGTTTACATTTCACAGATGATATTCAGCAGGTTAAGATATGTGCAATTCCTTTCTGGATTTAAGATCCATGTCCTTTCAGCCTTGACTTTTTTCTTTTTCTTGTCTGTTTCAATCTTTCCCTCTCAGTCCCTCTGACCAGCACACATTGTTGGCCTATGATGCAATGTCTCTTCCCTGATAGTTTAAGTTTCATGGCCAATCGGAGCGCAGGAGTAGGCGGGAATCCAGTCAGCTCATGCTTGTTAACAGCACTGACAGGAGGAGGGACTTTCAAGTCACAGTCCCACCCTCTGTTGTCATCCCTGTTCAGTCTTGTTCAGTCTGTGTGTCTGTGTTGTGGTGGTGGGAAAGAGGAAAAGCAACAGAAGGAAAAGGGAAAAGGAAGTATGGTCAGCAGGACCGGGGGGGGGGGGGGGGGGAGGAGGAGAGTCGAGGGGGGAGTCAGTGTGAGTCAGGGCGTGAGCTGATTCTTTGAAGTTAACACAGAGCTGCCATGGAGCCTTCTAGATTGATACTGCACTCTACTGACAGTAGGTAGTCTTTTTGTCAACTCTGTGTGTTTTCCTCATAGTCATGTGTGCAACTTACAATTTAGGCTCAGTAGTTAGCAGAGAGAAGTGTATGTTTGTCAGAGTGTATACAGTTTCATTGGTGCTGCGTGACAGTGAATGGCTGTGTTTGTTCTCTACTTTTCTTTTGAATCTGTGCGTCCCTTTCCTATACTCAACTGGGAGGAAAGGTTACATTTCCTGTCTTACTCTTCATTTTCACATGTGTTTTTATAACAGTCACACAGCTATGAGGATCTTATTGTATAAGCTACAGCAGAGCGCTGAACGGGACAAAGCAAACTGTTACTTTTGTATTCGGTAAAGCCTTCTGTTGGTGAATGGGCTCATTGTGTGCTAACTCTGTGGCTGTCAGCTTGTTGTCACACAACATACTGCCCTCATGCTCTTTAACACACACACGAACAATCTGTTACACATGCACAAGCTGTAATCCTGAAAGATTGAGGAATTAGTGAGGGTCACCAGCAACACGGGCTGTTATTACTGTGCATAAAACGGCCCAGAGAAATATAACACATTTCATTTTGATGGCATTAGTTGACAGTCCTCTGCCGGATATTTCCTCTCATGCATCATTTTTGCTTCCTGCCTGGGCTTGGCTTTATCCCACTCTGCTGCCTCTAACTTCAGCGCCTTACATTTGCATGTTTTCACTCACTTTTTGAACTTCCCAAGCTGTCACTTAAATGGTCATGGTTACTTTAGACTCTAGAGCATCAAATGGAAGCATCGTGGCCTACTTAGACGTTTAAGTGGCCATGAATGAAGTTGGGACCAAAACACAGTCTGTTGAATGCATATAAGTTTAAACATATGAGCATCCACTCATGTGCTCGAAAGCATGACCACTATGCGTATGTTGAACTTTTTCCCTCAACTAAAGTAAAGTGGGAACATACAAGAGAAAGTGAGTGACTCAAAACAGATGGTTTTAGCATTTGAGCTACTTTTATTTATCCAAATGTTTTCGAGACAGAATTCCTCATTGGGATTTATTGGACTCCAGATTCTTCTTTGCTTTGGTCCATTCTATAAAAAGGTGTTTTAAAATAAACCCAACAGTAAATAAATAAGTACCAGCAACTTTGCTATCCAGCAGTCCTAAGAGCCGCAGTCTTATTTTAGTTTCATCGTCATTGCTTCTTTGCCTACCCACTTATACACATGTCTAAATTTAGAAAGTCGTCATTATGATATTAGTATCAGTGCGTTCTAGCAGAGAAAGAGAATGACAGGGAACAGCACTCAAGTACGGTACATCCTGTGGCTGATCCCTAATTAGTTCTGCGTTCTTTTGAGAGAAATGTAACCTTCCTTTCATCAGAATTGAACAGTGACAACTGGATAATCACAAAATGCCAGTTTAGAGCGCAGGGCTTATAGAGAACAATGCATGTTTAGATTCAGACAAAGCATAAGCTACTTACCTGTAATCATTTATGTTAGACATCCTGCCAATCCCTTACCAAAGTGTGAATGTGACATGTCACTCTCATGGTTGACAGCTTAAGAAGTGACCTTTATCCTCACAGTCTGTGTGTTAGTGGATCCTCTGTGTTTGTGGGCAGTGGGCAACAACTGACATGTGTAAAATGGCAGGGATTGGGAGCTGTATCCAGCAGTGACAGATCGTGCAGACAGAGGGGGTTGTGGTGGGGGGATGATGATTGTCAGTGTGTTATTTTTTTGTGTGCGTTGTGTCTGTCCTCATCAATGAGTGTGTAATGTCCTCAAATACTGTACATCTTAAGGCCAGGAATGTTTGTTTTTCTGAGAGGTGCTGAGACACTGTGTCTGATGCATTAATAATTAACGTGTTCACCTACTGAGAAATGTGACTCAAATTCATTGCTGAAGCAGGTTAGCAACACAAAAATAGAAATGGTATGCACAGAATTCCTCAAAGGTGGCAATTTTAGACCAAAAGTCAAATCACTTGTAGTTGTTTTCCAACTAAAATATGTTGTGGTCTCTTTTCATTGCATGTGTATATTTTATGTTTTAGGACATTTCTCCAATAGATAGCACCTGGTCTTCCAACATCATTTGCACATGTTGTACATAGCTTTGAGAACATGCTGCAGAAGCATTTTTAACGCACCACTGTAATTAATGTGTTTATGCTCGCACTGATAAATGTGAAAGTGGGTTAAGTTGGAGTTAACACTGTGTTTGTGTTGCCAGGCAGAATATCAAAAATGCAAGCTGTATTTCTATTATAGATGTGATTGTGTAAGGCATGGGGCTTCCTCACAGAGCTCTGATCTATCTTATATTGTCAGCTACATGTATACATGGCTTTATATTATATATGAGTGTTTGTTTAAGTGTGGCATCCTTTTTTTCCACGAGTTATTCAAATTAGTCTAAACATGAAATCCTTTGCACATAAATTATAAAGCAATTTCTAACCCTGACAGAATTAAACTGTGTTAAAAGGCAACGTTATCCCTTTTTTAAATTGAAGCTAAATGGTGCCGAGCCAACACATTTAAATGCAGGATTATAACGATTGACGGATCATTAAATACAGAAAGTATTAAAGCTCAGTCATTTTTAAACATACAGCACTTTAAAGTTTCACTTACACAGCGAACTCTTGATCAAAGACTATGTAAAATGACTATAGATGTAAAATTGTGCTCTGTTCATATTTCCTTTTGAATGTTATCAAAGCATTTGGTTCGATGGAGAGAGTTTAGCAGAGTGAGACCTCACTCGCGACTTGTAAATATAGACGGACAGACACAAATAGAAAAACGTAGACGCACATTCAGTTTTCCCTTGTGTATGTGTGTGTGTAATATCACAACAGGTGTGTTCAGTTTGGGTAGCATGTGTGGCCAGTAAAGCTTGTTTAATTAAATGTTGTGGATTATAATAGACTCAACCACAGTCTGCACTTGTTGTCTGGTTTATTTGATTGTTTTGGCGTTATCCAAGATGTTCATCAAAAGCCAGGCACAGGGCCATACTGGTTTCTCTACATCACTTTCAGTCTGTTTACTGATTACTTCTATTTCACAGAGGTCTCTTTCAGCTAGCTTTTTTTGTATTAACCTAGAAAAAACACAATAACAATGGATGAGTATTTGTTCTAAATCAAGCAGCTTTGTTAACTTTGGTTCTTGGTACCTCCTGTGGTCAGTTTAGAGAGCATTAGCAGCCCTGATATTAATGCTTTCATCTTTGTTTCTCTGCAGGTTAACCGCTGTCGTTGTCCGTGGCTTCCAATGTCCTCTCCTATGGCAAATCGTGAGGCGGGGAGCACCAGCCCTGTGGTGCGTCAGATAGACAAACAGTTTCTGGTCTGCAGCATCTGTCTGGATCACTACCACAACCCCAAGGTGCTGCCCTGTCTGCACACCTTCTGTGAAAGGTAACTAACATTTGTGTTCTATTTCAACGACGAATGAAGTCCTAATTTCCCACAAACCCCAGTCTCTGCTCACTCCATCTGCTACATATAACTTGTTCTGGCCTTGCAAAGAAGTTGATACACCACTCTTGCTATTTCCCTGCCAGTAATTATTCTCCCATCCTTTTATTGAAGAATTCTTGTCTACTGTACTTGCATGTCTCCAAATAGTGGGACCTCATCTTCTGCAAATCCCTGGCCACAATTAAACAGCTCACAGCACTTCTCCTCTCAGACTCTAGCTGGGATAAGTGCATTCCTCAGCATCAGGGACCTTCAAAGTCGGAGAAAAGGCTCATTGTTGGGAGACACAATAACAATTCCTCAATCTACAGTTTCTTAGAAAGATGACACCCCCTCCAGCAATACTTACTGGGGCCTTTTTCGTGCCTGGCAAAGCAGAGGAGGCTTTTGAAAAGCTTGTTGTGTGACAGGGTGGGAAAATGGAGAATGAAGAGGAGGGCATGTTGTTAGGTACAGAGGACATTATGTTTCAAACTGGTTTACTTCCAAACCTATGATCAAACCAATATTTATGGACTAGTTTTGAATAGCCACACAGAGTACAGTATAAATCCTTTTTCCAGGCAGTGTGAGGGGCCTTTGCCCACCCGAGGGCAAGTTAAATCCCCGGTTTAACTGGATGGCATGTGATCTGGATCCCTGCTGATGTGAACAGATTTATGTCTGGGGCTATAGATGATGTTGCCAGACAGATGTTTTAATACTGGGTGGGTTGATGTCGTTTTAGGGGTTTTAGAGCTGAGCTGGCAACCCATGCTGGGCCACGGCTATTGCATTGCTTTTAATTCTGCTTCTTTTTACTCTTTTGTGATTATCCTAGTCCTGTGCTTATATTCAGAGATCAGGGTCATGAGTTTGGTATGGATTGTGCAAGTGTTTTAGATGAGGCCAATATAAATCAAGTCTTTCTACAATAGGGGTGTGTGGCAACTTGTACTCTGGATTGCAGGATTTTAGGATAAGTGTAGTACTAGTGGTTAAAGTTATTCACAATTGAATTTGATTAGCTGCCTAAATTCAGTAAATAATATAGTTTTATATGGATACAAATACTGTGTTGATAATTTTTAGTGCCAACATTTTGAGAAAAAATTTACTTGAATTGGATGACATTTTTTGGAATATGATATATTAGATAAATAATGTGTAAGTTGCAAACAGATGAATGTTATGGATGTCCTTTCAAAAGTTCAGGTGTTTAACAGTTGTATGGCCTATGGAATGAAACTGTATATATAGACTTTTGTTAAAGCTCACTGTTATTATCAAGCTAAACACTGCTGCAGTTTACTAAGGCCCAGTTCATCAGGTCACACTGGGGTCAAAAAGTAAACAAAATGTTAGCATGCAAACAGAGAAGCTGCCCGGCATCCTTGTGTTCAACAACAGAGTCACCGACCTCAGGTTACGTCCTGCGTCGATCACAAATAGTGATAACGGAAGTTTAGAGAAACAACCATACATCTCATTCTGGGTTGGCTGTCGGGCTGAAGGCCAAGAGTGCGGTCTAGCGGTTTGCATACTGCGGCTCAACTTTGCTGACTGTCGCTTTCATTCTGCCTTGAAGGTTGTCTAATGTTGAATGGATTGCCTCCAAAGGGCAATTAAACCCACAAAGCATCCCCAGCGTTGAAGGGCCGGCAGGATAAATGTGAGACTGATCACAGCATGAGGCCGGAGTCCAAAACACATGCACACAGACAGACATGCAGAGGCATAAACAAACAAACATCTTATCTACTCTTTGTGTTTCTGTTAGACACATTGATTTCCACTGAAGATCCACTTTCTGAAAGAGGAAGTGTGTTCTCCAAGGATCTGGGTTGTGTAGATTGACACGAAATCCCACTTTCCTCCTATTTGTTGTGACAGCAGCACTATTTAGTATTTAGGCACTATCTCTCAAGGACTGTGATAAGATGACAGCTCTCTCTTGCTAGTATCTTCTCTCTCTGCTTTAAATTGATGAATAGAATATAAATTTGAATTATACAATAAAATAAGAAAAAGTAATTGCTTTGATAGATATTGTAATACATTTTCTGTATTTGTTTACCTCCCCCAGTTGTCTTCAGAACTACATTCCCCCAGAGTCCCTCACACTCTCGTGTCCAGTGTGTCGACAGACGTCCATTCTGCCGGAGAAAGGGGTTTCTGCTCTACAAAACAACTTCTTCATCACAAATCTCATGGAGGTTTGAATATTAATCCCTTTTATTAGCTCTAGTCAAACACAAATGTATTAGCCAAACAGAAAGGTCAAGTGTGTCACAGGGATCAAATGACAGAACACAGATTAATTACGAGGTTAACAAATAAGCAAGGATTAATTACAAATAATTAAAGATACTCAAAGGAATGGGGCGAGGCTCTGGTTGTGTTCCTGTAATACTGTTTTTGGAGTACCACTCTTTGTACAGAGGGAGGACATTTTTACAGACTGAGGTCATAGTCAGTTCTTCTTTTCTTTTTTCACAAGGGGCTCTTTTTAAGGCTGGTTTTAAATGTAAGGTTTCCATTGTGCATGTAGAGGTTATGATTAGTGTTAGCATTGGGATTCTATGGAATGGGTGTATTGAATGGAGGGAGCTCAAAAAGTACATCAATGTATCATGAAAAGATGAAGTAAACTGACTACAAGGTTTGAGGACAAAGAAAGAAGTATCTTAGTTCTCATTAACATATACCGTAAAGTCATCAGTTCGATTGAATTCTGCAGCAATATTTGTTCAATCAATACCCCACCTCTTAATTGTCCACTGCCAAATAAGGGAAAAGCATGCCCTGTTAAATATTTATAAAAAAGAAAATAAACCACCCCACTACAGTTAGTCCAGCAGATACGTGAATTAATTGTGCTTTTGATGATAAAAACTTGAACTTTGGCACACTGTTAGAGCATGCCCTAAGGAAGATATTTGAATATAGGGCCATCGCATATTTGTTCAATGGCGCAAATGGCGGCCATTTTCAAAATGTCACATATCTGCTGGACTAAGTTCATTCGAAAATCTCTATTGTATTTATTAAAAGCAGCGTAATGACATTTTAAATGTTTTCAACCAGGTCCTTCAGAGAGACCCCGAGTGCTCGCGGCCTGAGGCCTGCAGTGTCCTGGAGTCCGTCAACGCTGCGGCCGCAGGGAAACCCCTCTGCTGCCCCAACCATGAGGGAAAGGTGGGAAGAACTTTGTGATGCCCACTCATCATTTCTTTTAGTAATTGTCAAAGAAACAAAATACTAAAATCCCTACATATCTGCTGCAAAGCCCAGCAAGAGTGAAGGAGTTTGTCTCCCCCTGCAGGTGATGGAGTTCTACTGCGAGTCCTGTGAGACAGCCATGTGTCTGGACTGTACATCGGGGGAGCACAGGGAGCACGTGACCGTTCCTCTGCGGGACGTCGTGGAACAGCACAAGGCTGCGCTCAAGACACAGCTGGACGCCATTATGAGCAGGTGGGGACTTGAGACCTAAATAAAGCTTTCAGGATATACCACACTTGAAGTCAAAGCATTACATCGTGCTGACGCTTTTATCCAAATCACCTTACAATAGGTGCAACAAACCATAAAGATACATAAAGATTTTCATTTTTTTCATTTCATTTCCATCTTTATTTCGAACAGATTTAAAAAAATAATAATAATAAATGTGAGAAACAGAATACCGTATTGTTAGAATACAGTATTTATCAATATTCATAATAATATTAATATATTTGAAAAAATATTAATAATAATAATAATAAATCCTATGTGTCCGAAAGAGAGCAGGAAGAAGCAAGTGCTTATTAATTCCCACCCCTTACTTACTGCTAATCAATGATTATCCTTTAAATCATTTCTGCAAGTTATTCCTACTCACATCTTTACATTTATACATACATTTACAATACTTTCTCATCTTCAATCAGCTCTCTTCATTCTCATAGTTTTTCAAAAAAGTGTTTCTGTAAATAATGATTATGATTATGATTATAGCGGCAAAGGCCCAATTCCACCAGTTAAGCCCCACGCCCAAGGTACCGGGGGCAAAACGTAACATCTTGCAAGAAACAACGTCTGAGGGCGTCTTAACATTTAACAAACTATGAATGTGTCATACCCACTTAACGGGAAGAAACTCAGCTATCAGATAATATTAACAATGTTTAGCTAAACGAAACACAAGGGTAATAGCAAGACTCTGCAAGCCCTGAGTGAAAAAATTATAACGCACTTAGCACAAAACTCACAGTAGAAATACTTTATTACTTATCGGATCTGCACAAACAAGATATCAGATTAAAGCTGAGATTCCACAGATTCTAAAGGTATAAGTATCATCACTGTGCGGCCAAGACTCAGGGCAGCAAAAGTCAAACCCAGACAACACACCACGTAGCTTTACGGAGCCAAAACGGCAAATATGTCTTACCTTTGCTGTTTTTCTGATCAAAGGTTGTGTTCAATGGCATTAAAGCGATAAAAACGCTGCTGAAGGTTAATCCAATGTCTCTGTGTCCCTTTTAAATTATTACTGATAATCCATCATCATATTTATGGCTATAACCTAGTTTTCAGAGCGTAACATAGGTTTGGGCAAGCTGTGTGCACATCACTCTCATTCCTCAATGGTAACGTGTAGGTGGATTTAGGAACTTCCCCTCGATTCTATTGGCTCTAATGGTTCAAAAGAGGTGTCAATCATCAAAATCGACCGTGGGGGGCCAGAGATATGGCAAATCCACCCAAATGACCCCAGAAGTGGGTTTCTTTTTCTAAACCTCTCTAAAAAGGTCACATGTCACTTCATCAATCGTGATACAGGGTACTTATTATATGTTATAGTTTGGATTCCTAAAGCTTTTGGTCTACTATCCCATCATTCAAGGGTGGTTTTCACTATAAGTAATGTTGTTGTTTTTTGGACGGACACTATAATTTACATATTTTTTTCTATTTTCAATCTGAATTTACTTTAAAATAAAAAATAATCTATATTGATTCTGACTTTTCTACATCCAACTCAAAGGTTTATCATTGCTTTGAGAAAAAAGATGATTAATTTACCCCCTTTTAGAAGTGAAGTCATAGTCATTTGTTCTGGGAATGTCATTTTCGAGCCTGAGACCTGAAAAACAGGCTTGGGGCCTAACTGGTTTTTGTAGCTTTATAGCTCGTTTTTCATACAATTTCTGTTCACATAATGTCATCTTGCAGACTCCCTCAGCTAACATCATCCATCGAGCTGGTGAGTGAGATCTCCCGCCAGCTGAATGAAAGGAAGAACGAGGCGGTGGCAGAGATCACCAGTACGTTTGAAGAGCTGGAACGGGCGCTGCATCAGCGCAAGACGGCCCTCATCACAGACCTGGAGAACATCTGCAGCACTAAACAGAAGGTATATAGTTCACATTATTCACATATACCATGGATGCACTCAGACAACTGCACCTGCAAATGTGCATGCTCATTGTCTAGTGCAGGATCACTCACAGGCATTTATCATACAAGCATGAGCTGCCATAGGTCTCGAAATCCTGGCGAAATATTTCAGCATGCTGTTCTTTACTATTTCTTTATTTGATTGTTTCTGTTTTCTTAACTTCCTCTCATCTGAATGCAGGTCCTGCAGGCCCAGCTTTCGTCTCTCCTCCAAGGGAAGGACCACATCCAGAGCAGTTGCAGCTTTACAGAGCAAGCTCTCAGCCATGGGAGTGCTACTGAGGTGAGCAAGCTAACAAACACAGATGGGAACATAACATAATGAAGACGAGTGTTGGATAAAAAATAAAAATGTTGTGTCTCTCCCGCCAGGTGCTGCTAGTTCAGAAGCAGATGAGTGAGCGGGTCACAGCACTGGCCAGACATGATTTCCCAGAGAAACCACATCAGAACGCACATCTGGACTGTCAGGTATTTCATGTGGTTTATTTTATCTGTGCATTTTTATTCTGGTGGTCAGACTGATAATCCAACATGGTCAATTAATGATTTAATCTTTTTGATTGTGAGAGTTTGCTTATTGAAATAGTTTTTTGTTTAATTACTCCTTACATTCTATACTTTCTTGGGGATCTAGTATTGGGGGAACTACTACATTTTTCATCCAGAACTGAATCAGAATCATTAGTCTGTCACATACAAGTAATTAAAAAGTAAGAATTAAGTAAAAAAGTCATAGTATAGTATTTAATACAACAAATTCATGGTAAAGTATATCATAATAATTCATTGTATTTTCTATTGTAAGTAGGTGTAAGTGTAAAAGTAAAATGAGCATTAGGGGAACCTGTTGTGAAAAATATTGTCTGTGGTGGAAATATGATCCTCTCTGCTCCAGGTGGAAACTGAAGGTCTCCGGCGCTCCATCCAGAACCTGGGCGTCCTCCTCACCACCGCCGCTGTGGCTCACACCTCCGTCGCCACGGGAGAGGGCCTCCGCCACGCAGCCACCGGGCAGCACCACACGGTTACTGTGACAACGAAAGACAAAGTACTGTTGTTAACGCTTGTCCTAACTTCCATTTCCTACATGTGTGGATTGAACTCTTGATATTGCTAGCAGATTAACATTATGCTTTTTCTTTAATCAGTTTGCTAATGTACTTTAGTCACACACTTTCATTTTGTTTTCCATTTTAATTTCAATTTCCTGATATTTTCTCTGGACGCTCTGGTCACGAAGGCAATTGAAAAGTCCTTATTAGTATCACAAACAATCTTGAAAAGAGTGTCAGTAGAAGATGCAGCTTTAATAGGCTGCAGCCATGTGCGTATTGTTATTTAATGGACATCCTCTCTCTGCAGGATGGAGAGCTGGTGCGGACAGGAAATGCTGTTTTAAAAGCAGAGATAACATCAGCTGACGGGAGCCGCATTACAGAGGCAGACGTAGCGGACAATAAGAATGGGACATATGAGGTGGGCTATACATTACGAGTGGAGGGAGAGTACTCTTTCTCTCTGTTGCTGTACGGCCAGCCGTTGCGTGGCAGCCCTTTCCGCCTGCGAGCGATCAAGCCCTCAGATGTGCCTCAATCTCCGGATGACGTGAAGAGGAGGGTGAAGTCTCCCAGCGGCACAGGAGGACACATACGGCAGAAAGCAGTGCGTCGGCCTTCCAGCATGTACAGCACCACCAAGAAGAAGGAGAACCCCATTGAGGACGAGCTCATCTACAGAGTGGGTAAGTCCAGGAGAGACAGTACTGCAGTGTACACGGCGTTACCGCAGCAACAGATCTAAATCCACCGGACTAAGGGACTGTTTCATCCCACAGGCCATAAGACTGTCAAACACCTGAACTATTGATAGAACATACATAACATTCATCTGTTTGCAACTCATATATATCATATGTCAATATTCCAATTACTGTATATAGACTATTCTGCACATTTTCTATTATATTCTGTTTCTATTATATTCTATTTACTTGTACTATTTTATCTGTTGTATTGTGTTGCACTGTTTGAGGAGCCTGTGACCTAAGATTTTCATTGTCATAACTACACTGTAGCTATGCACACATGGCAATAAAAGCCTTGAAACCTTGAATCGTCAAACCAAGTACCATGAAGACATCACACTTATTAACAAAGTAAACTTTCTAAAGCTTGCATCATGTTTGAAACTTCCCCTCTAGGTAGCTTCTGTTTTCACTTTTTAATAGACTACAGAGTAAAATGTCTTGCTGTGACTTGATAGAAGAAGTAACATCAAAAACATTTTTATTCTACAAGCTACGGCAGGTTGACAGAAGATCACAAGCTTGTATTTTTGCTTACTTCAAAGTGGAAAGTTTGTTTTAGATTGTGCTTGCTGAAGGTAAACCATTGTCACTATGGACTATCTTTCTCAAGCAGGACAAGTATTTATGATATTTTTTTAATTATACTGAAATAAACACAAATCAGTCCAAACGCCAGATAATTGTAGTCCAAAACCACTGGTATGAGCCATTAAAGCAACATTTTAAACATGGAGTGGCACATCAACTGAGTGTGTTATTATTTATCTGTCAGGTACCCGGGGCAGAGAAAAAGGGGAGTTCACAAATCTGCAGGGAATCTCAGCCTCTTGTAACGGCCGAGTTGTGGTTGCCGACAGCAACAACCAGTGCATACAGGTGAGACAGACAGGAAAGTGCATGTAAGTGCAACCATGAATGTATTTGTGGTCACAAAATATGGTTATACTGTGTTCATGACACATTTTACTCACAGTAAGATGGAACTGATTACAGATATTCTCCAACGACGGCCAGTTCAAGATGCGCTTTGGGGTCAGAGGTCGGTCTCCGGGACAACTGCAGAGGCCGACAGGCGTCACCGTGGACATGAACGGTGACATTGTGGTGGCCGACTATGACAATCGATGGGTCAGCATCTTCTCGTCTGATGGCAAATTTAAGGTCAGATCTCAAAGATTGTTATTAGCTAGACAGTCCTGAAGTCAAATGAGTAATGTAACTTAATGCTCAAACAATAGCCTTGGAAGAAAAGGTTATACAATTGACATATGACCTCTTTGTCTCTCTCCCTGACAGAATAAGATTGGTGCAGGCCGGCTCATGGGTCCTAAGGGTGTCGCCGTGGACAAGAATGGACACATCATCACTGTGGACAACAAGGCATGCTGTGTCTTTATCTTTCAATCCAATGGGAAGTTGGTGACTAAGTTTGGAGGCAGGGGGACGTCAGACAGACAGTTTGCAGGTGAGACCAAGGCCTCGATATGCAACTAATGAAGAAGTGCTATCAATCAATGTTCTCTATTTCAATGAAGAGATCTGTCAGTGATGCAAGAGTGTCTGCCTTCTTTTAAAGTTAATCTCTCATGATTTTTATGTCTGTGTTATGTTGGATTTCGAAATGGAAAAATACAAATAATAATTGAACACTCAACAAGGTTTTGTTGACACCTTTACCGTCAGTTACTGCCACGATATTTTCCACTTGTTCCCTTTTTATGTCTGAATACAGACCATCCCATGTAACATTCTGTTTGAACATGACTGTATATACTTCTAGGCAAAGCCCCAGGTGACGCAGCGGCCCCCCCGCTCCCCCCACAAACTGCGTCTGTGCGGATCAAACTACTCCTTTTTCTTCTCTGTTATCATTTATCTCTGACTACCTATTTTCCTTTCTTTCTGTTTTCTTCCTCCTGTTTTTCAATCTAGAAAAACTTGGCCCATACTTTAATAAATCTGGCTCAGTGTTCAGTAAGTACTAAGTGTGGCCTTGCTGCAACCTTAATCCCACAGTGCGGTGCCCTCTGTCTAACCCGATCCCTGATCATGTGTCTGCCCTCCTGACAACTCAGATTCTTGACAAATCCAAGCTTTGCCTGTACAATAAGAATAAGAAATGCAATTACATGCTATTGTAATAATCACCTACTATTACAATATTGACCAAATTGTCATGTGCATTGTTTTTTAGCCCACATGAATAGGAAGAGATTAGTGTGAAGGATTTTTACTGCCCTGTCCCATGAAACTAACTGATGTTTCCTGTTAAGATAATCAGTGTTGGGAGCTACAGAGCTTTTTATTAGGTATCTAATAGGCAATAGATGTCACTTTATATACAGTAGCTACCCCGGAATGTTGATGGTAAATCTCAAAGTATTGTGCCTTTCCCAATAATCTAATTTGACTGTTTTGACATTCTGAAAATTATTGAACAACTCACGTAAAGCATCTAATGCATGAAAAGCCAATCGCAAATCAGTACAGCTAACCATGTGATCAAACTACGTTTTGTAATTAGAGCTGAAATTGTGGTTCAAACGACCAACTAACAGTCAAGAGAATGGTGATAAGTACGGGAATGTGATTCTGTTACAAGTAGAGTGAACTTCACATGAACTCGTCTCTCTCTCCCTATAGGTCCGCACTTTGTTGCAGTGAACAACAAGAATGAAATCATCGTAACTGATTTCCACAATCACTCTGTGAAGGTAAGAAATGCTCAGTCTGTAATTCACATTGAATATGTGCATCAAAGTGAGTGCAAAGAGGTAGACAAAGTGTTTCATTTCACTGACTTCCTGTCCCAGGTGTACAATGCAGATGGAGAGTTCTTGTTTAAATTTGGCTCTCATGGTGAAGGCAACGGTCAGTTCAATGCTCCCACTGGAGTGGCCGCGGACGCGAATGGAAACATCATTGTGGCTGACTGGGGCAACAGCAGGATACAGGTGAAACAGGCAATATTCTATAAACCTCACAACTTTGAACGTTTTCTTTAATATAGCATTGTTTATCAGTAATGGGAAATAGTTACAAAGAAAACATTCACATTAAATGATTAACAACAGGAAACACTTAACAATTAAAGTACACTATAGCAATAAGGACATCAGTACAGCAAACAACAGTCGCCCATGCTATGGATTGTTATGATATGAACACTAAAAACGTACCTTTGTGTTTTTTATTCCAGGTGTTTGACAGTGCAGGCTCCTTCTTGTCTTACATCAACACCTCAGCAGACCCTCTGTACGGGCCCCAGGGCCTCGCTCTCACCTCAGATGGCCATGTGGCTGTGGCCGACTCTGGAAACCACTGCTTTAAGGTTTACAGATATCTGCAGTAGGCTGAGGGAAGACCTCCAGACCGGACCCCTGCTAAGTTAACAGTGCATACTGCTCGGGGACATGGAGCTGCAACGGGCCTGCACTCTACACTGGTCCCAGGTTCCAGAAATTCATTACCTTTTCATTTTGTCTCTGCACACTTATATATACCTTCACATTTTCAAGTTTCAAAGAAATCTGAGAAAGATGTTTACGTGAAAAACAGCCAAAAACACTCAAACTAAATAAGCTATTAATCCCCAAAAATGAAATGAGTTCCCTTTGTAAAAAATAGGCTACCCTGATGAAAATAAAGTTTTAAAGGTCACCTATTATGCAAAATCTACTTTTTTATGTCTTTTATACATAAATATCTTTCTACTCTGTCTTAAGTGATTCGGAAAGTTTCAGTAAAAATATTTTCTCTCTTCTGTTCTGATTTATGAAAATGAGCTGATCAGATTTGGGCTACTTTGTGATGTCACAATGTTTTTTGGGGTTGTGCAATCATTAGCCAATAACAAACCAAGGTAACACCCCCCCACCTTATCACCTGAATCTTTTCCTAGAGCACCATTGTGTTATTTTTAAACCAATCATTTCTCAGAGGGGCGTGGCCAGCAGCAGCTCATTAGCATTTAAAGCTAAAGACACCAAATCAGCACTTTTGGAACAGGGCTGAAACAAGAGAGGTATTTGGCAATATCTGTTTCATATTTCGAGCCAAATACTTCAGAGACATGTTTTGTATATATCTGAGACCTATAATATATTGTTCACAAAGAGTATAATACGGGACCTTTAAGAATGAATGAATTTTCACAAGCATGAGGAATAAAACATCCCATTATCCATATTTTTCTATCTGATCACGGTCTACTTGAGTGTTTTTGACAGATTCCACTAGAGAAAATCAACTGGGAATGAACCTCTGGAACAAGGCGTTGCAGCTTTAATTCTCTTTTATGTGTGACCTCACCAGTAGAGAGTGTGCCAGTCTGAAGTAGGTGATGCACTGCTATTTCTTTTGGGCAACACACTCAGCAACCAGCAATCAAGGCGAGACACAGAAGCAGGAGTGCACTTCCTGTTTTCTGAGGACGCTTTGTGTTTTTAGTAACATGCTCAGGCCTTTCCTTGAACACTGTTGCATGTCAGTGTGCTCCAGAATATGACCCTGTTGTCACTGCCTTCAATTCTCATCAGCAAACACAACAGAACACACGAAGACAGTAATGTGTATAAAGAGTTGTTTCTTATTTCTGAATTTAGACAATTGTTTTCTTTTATGGCGTAAGATGAGTTGACTTATGTGCACATGTTTTTTGGTACCCAAAGACGAGCAGCAAGAAGCACAACAGTTGGTAGAACAACGTTTTTGAACACAAAATCTGACTACTTTTTTTCTTCTATTAACCAAAACAAACTTCATACAGTGTACGACACAAATAGTTCGGTTTCCATATCTACAACCTAATGTAGTTGTATGTTATTTTACTATTTAACCACCTTATTACAGCACTTACACTGGAGCATTATACTTATATACAATTGAAGGTCATGCCATGTAGGAGCCAGCTGAATGGCTTGCAAACACTAATAGAACAAACTTGTATACTCATTGTTTACTGTATGTTTTTTCTTCTAAATAGTTAATTTATTTTTCTTTTCTTTTCTACATAATTTGTTCTACAAATAATTTTTCTAATTTGTGCATTTGAACTGTATCCTCTTTGCCAAACATTTTCGTACATAGGCCTTGTGACATGTAGCACTGAAAGCTGTTTTGCCTCTTCCCAGAGCTCACATCCTGGACTACAGGAACTTTTCCTTCGGCCAAAACGTTTTGTTGTAAGTTGTTGAACATTGCACAAGTACAAATATTATAAGAGTTATATCGTTTGCAAGAGTAATATATGCCTGTGTATAGTTATCATTAAACATAATCAGAAAGTGTACTGTATATTACAATCACATTCTTGTTGTAGCTGACAAGCACCTTCATCATGGATTTTTCCAGTATTCACTTTCTTGGTTGTTCAGTGTTTTAAAGGTGTTCTGTGCATCTCCTTGAGAAACACAACGAAGCTAAAACCAGAACGTTTTACCTGTATTGTATGAATAAACTATTTGATCTGTAATCTGGTCTTTCCATCTACATTTCTCATTTCCTGGAAAACTATCTTTTTGACTTTCCTTATTCATAAACATGACCCCTGTGTTCCTATGGTTTTATTTGTGTCCTTGTTTTACCTGTAACTGCACATGTCTGTGAAATAAAGGAAGCACATACTGTGTAAACAAAACAGTACACAAACCATATTGTGTGGCCTACTGTATACTGCAAGAGGCCAATTTTACAAGAAGTAATCACTTGTATCATGGCCAAGGTATAATTGTAAATATTAAAATCATACGCTATGAAATATTGTGCACATTTTGTTTTCATAACAAGACTTCAGTAAACTAATGCCTTTTCTGTACGTGTTTTTTTAAATTTTTGAAATAGGTATAAAGGCATATGCTTGTCTTGCTTAATCAGAAACCAATATATTCATGCATTTTCTTACCAAAATAAGTGAATAGTCAGATGTCTCATTGAAGTGTTGAAGTCCCATCGTGACAGGAACTTTGGTTTAATGCCACTGCTCTCCGCTCTGAAACTGTTACATATTATAATACATAATGTGAGGTCACGCAAACAGCCATTACAATTTGTGCTCATAATGATGATTAGCTGTCCTCTGTTAGGAAGATCTGGGCAACTATTTATAAAACCAGCCCTTCATTAATACCATATCTCTACGGAAATAACGGCAAAACAACCAGAGCCGGCGGGGGAGGGAACCGTTTTCTCACCTCCTCCTTAAATGTTCTGGCTGTATGAAAACTGAATAAGAAACAAACCGTCTCAAAAGGTTTCATGAGAATGTTGGACCAAAATAGCAAAAAACTCTTACACTAGGCATGAACCTGTTCAGTGCAAAGAGTACGCTGCAGAATGGGACAAAAGAAGCCCTTAAAAGTAACTTATGCCGAGCAGACACTAACTGCGTTTGAGTAGCAAACTGGGACAAAAAAAAAAAAAGGAAGAACTTTCTCAAGATAACATTGAGAGTTTTGAATAGGTCAATTTTCCACATCTAAAAACAATGGAATGACACAAACCTGGCTGACAGCATCTAGAAATCATTAGGTTTTGAAACAAAATGATAGGTCCGAAATACATTTAAATGTATTCCTAATTAACATTCGTTTTGGTTTACATTACCAGAGCCCTTGTGTAGAGAAAGTTAATAAGACTCTTGAAAAATAAAACTTGAATTTCTCTTCTTTTAATGTTATTGTTCTGTCTAAGAAACACTTAGCACATTTAAAGCAGGTGAAAGGGCCACAAACAGGGACTGCAAGATTTTATTTTTAAAGTCACACTTAAAGAAACAGCCCAAACACTGTTAAACTTATTGCAGGTATGAAACTCAGAACGCTTGACAAATTAAAAGTACGTATAAATGAGGTGTACTATCTTGGACACAATGTTTATCAGTAAATATTCAGAGTTTAAGAGCACAAAGTGTTGCAGTCATCAAGTGAAAATCTTAAACATCTACTAATAAACTGAATAATAAATATTGTGAATGTCCGTTGGGCTCCTCAATAGGATTCTGAAATAAAAAACAAAAAAAACATTTAAGACGGCAGTCTTTGCTTGTAGGTCCACAACTGCACAAGCAAAAATAAAAGGATCTAAAAGAAGAATGTTAAAAACATGTTTAAAGAAGGAAAAAGATTGTACACAGTTACCCAGATACACATATTGCATTCAATAAATAAAAATAGAAAACTGGTTGAAAAATGTCAGGAGTTCAAACCAATCAATCAGCACCATCTCAACAACTATCTATTTATAATCTCAAGCAGGAATATTTTAAAATAACTATCATCAAGGCAATGCTGGGGTAATTTGTAAAAAGCAAACTGAACAAGTTATAAAAAACGTAATTCAGCATTTTGTAAGTTTACATTTTAGTCAAGTCCATCAGGCACTCTCCAGTTAAGCAACTGATTTTAAGATATGGCTGTTCATCTTAATTTATTGTTTACATTTTTCAAAATAGTTTGCTTTGTCATACACACCTGCTAATTCTCCAGCAGACTGATGACATTTTCTCAGATTTGTATGATAGCTTATAACAAAAGCACAATGGCACGACTTCATGCCTTCTGCTCAACAAAGAAATGTGCTTCAGAGTAACATAGAGGAGTTTGGAACTTCCAAAATTGTAAGCAATATACAGAATAAAAAACAGATACAATAAGGGGATTTAAAAACGATGATAAAATGATCTGCTGACAGAACAACCTGAACCACTCTCTCATGGAAGTACAATCCGGCCAAATTCAATCAAGGAAATCAGATAACTATGAGCATGGAACTGACTGTTATATAATGAAGGAATCTATCAACTATCAATGTGATACTTGATGAAGTTTTACCCAAGGCCACTGACCCTGCCTGCCAAAGAAATTAGCCAACACAAGTTAATGTACAGTAATTGTATGGCATAGTAGTTGACATTTGAGGCATCTGCCTGACTGCAACCAGTGGTATTTACAACAAAGCCGCTCTCAGACTGCAGCCAGTCACCAGGGGTTAAAGCCTACAGTGTGTGCCGGGGTTAAAAGAAACCACATTTAACATTTTCAAATTGCCTTATGAGAAAATGTAAGCACTTCACATCAACCAACGTGTGATGAGACACCTGGTGACTCATGTTCTAACTCGAGTAAGACCAACAGGAACCATGTGCACATCACACAGACACAGGGTCAACATCCACCTGTCACTCCATCCAAGACTGAGAAGAAACCATATTGACAGCAAATCTGAAAACCATGGCGTACGATTTTACCAGTAGATAATGAGATTTCATGACTCTTTTCAGATCTCTCAGTAATAGTGGCATATCTGCAGCCTGCTGCCGGGGTCATTCTTCCCCGGGCTGAAGAAGGGATAGACAGGCTCTTCAAAGCAGGTATCAAACATGAACAGTCTTTTCATTGTGACGGCGTCATAGAAACTGAGGCGCCCGTTGTCGTAGTCCAGGTACACGCCGACCCGAGGAGAGTTCCAGTAGTCGGCCACGGGGATTCGCCCGTCCTCTCCGTTGGCGTACAGCCGGTCCTGCAGACACAGGCTCCAGTACCCCGAGGAGGGGGTGAGGCTGACGAAGCCCTTCCTGTTGCTGCCCTCAGTGGTGACTCCCAGGTACCACACGCCTTTGTCCTTCACGTCCACCTCCCAGTAGTGCTGGCCGCTGGCGTACTGGGCCGTGGCGAGGACTCCACAGAAGCGAGTGAAGCGGGCCGGCAGGTCGGGCTCCTGGTTACGAATATGGCCCTCCTCTACTTTGGTGTCAAAGTCTGAGATCTGAAGGTTTAGGTGAGCCGTGTCGGGGTCCAAGGTGAGGTTCTGGGGCACTACACAGAAAGAGAGGGGAAAGTTAGGTCACCTTGATCATAGAGCGGGCTGAAGAAGGCAGTACAGTTGAAAAAAATACAAGTTAAGGAATCCAAGTTGACATTTATGTCCAAGGAAGCAAAAGTTGTCTTACTTAGGGTAATAAGATGTCAAACATGCATGGTGTGGGAAACTCACTAGTGTGCAGCACGTGCATCATCTTCTTCCACATGATGAGCTGGAAGGGCCCGGAGAAGTCTGTGAACTCAGTCGCACAATTGACGGTGTCGAGGGATTTGAACGGCTTGCAATGGATGACTCTGTAGGAGAAAAACACAAAGTATAAAAAGGTACATTTTTGCTCAATAAATAAACAGTTTGTATAAGGTTCATAAAATACAAAACTGTAAGCTACTTACTCATTGTGTGTCTCAGCAAGGCTCTGTTGAAAGAACAAAAAGTTATATTAAACACACACACACCACTTATGTACAATTGGCAGTGGTTTTTAGGTTTATTTCAGCCATTGCTTCACATACCAACTGTTACTATACATCTATGACAAATATATTCTTACAATAATGCTCAGCATCAGAATCAGAGAGCAGACGTGTTATACTGACCTCAAAGCTAGTTTTCCCACCGATGTGACCGTGGATTTCAGCTATAGCTTTGTCTACAGACGCCACCTCTGTCTCCACAATCTTCAGGTTCTCGTCGATGACGGCCATGGTGGCCACTTCCTCGGCATCCAGGCTCTCAAGCAGGGAGTCTCTCTCATCGAGCAGGAACTGCACCAAGGCACCAACATCCGCCTCAATCTTCTCCTTGAGTCTCTTTTTCTTCAACTGAAGACCAGAGAATGTCAGAAGATAAGGATCAAACACGTTAGGATTGTAAGTATCAATGGAATGCGTGTTTAGCATTACCTGCTGTAACATTTGAAAGCATCCTGTAACCCAGCGTTTAAATTACCAAATGTCAGGATTACCAATCAGGCCTCCATGCTGATTGTGATATTGCATTTAATTAGTTGATGAAATAAGGTTACATTTGGAAGATAGAGAAGGTTGTTATCTTGTTAGAATATTTGAACCAAACATACACTTTTTAAGTTGTGACCTATAAAAATGAAAATATGGCTTAAAAAAAATGATATTACATACCTTCACTTCACTTGTGGTGCGCTCATCAGCAGTTATAACTTTTACACATTGAGACTTCTGCCAGTTGAGCTCCATTAGCCTCATTTTCAACTCCATCTGTAAGAAAAATGATCATTAGGACACACAAACTAGTACATATTCTAGATGTCCCAAATAATACATGCAGACAAGGCCACATCATCTCTGATCTCTTGGCAAAATACAGAGTAGGAGACTTAAAAATGAAAACATTTGCATAAACTTACCTTCATGTCATTCACAACTTCTGTTACTGGTGCTACCTCATGGTGTCTGAAAGTATATATATATATTTTTAAATGAAGCACACACACTCAAGTGTCAGACAGTTTAGGAGACAATCAGATATACATTTCAATTCAGTAGGGCTTCAAATGCCCAAAAACATATGGGTGATACAATTATTGTAATTCATTCAACTGTAGGCTTAATACAACAATTTAACAGGACAAAAATCTATGGGGTGACATACTGACACACAGATAATAGAGTCGGTAGATTGCAAAAATGAAGGACAACATCAAGGGCAAACAAGATGAAGCAAGCTTGTTTTGCAAAAGATACATGACCCTGGCTCTCTTAAAGAGATACAGCAAAGTATAATATAAAATAATAAACTCAAACTAGTAATTCAAGTCTAGCAGAAATGTCTAGCAAGTAGCTATAACTATGCATTGAAAATAAGAGTGGTTGGCAGATTCATTTAGCAACAGAACCAGACCACACAAGAGTAAATAGGGCTAGAAGTTGGAATACAGTAACTGTCATAAAATAAAATGGTATTATCCTGATAGGCCTTTACATATGGCATGCATTATGTGAGAAGGGTCTGGGTGTCTTGGTGTTAAAGGTCCCATGTCATGGCCATTTCTACTGATCATAATTCCATTGTTGAGGTATACTAAAATACATTTATATTGTGCAATTTTCCAAACTCACATTGGTTTCTCCTACAGCATCTCTGTAAAGTATGTGTATTCACTCTCTGTCCTAAACGGCTTGTTGGAGTTCCAACATTTTACATTAGAATGACATGAGATACACTGCAGAGGACTGGGTGAATAGCCCTGGCAGAAGCAAGACAAGTGAAAGGGATAAACCAAGTCTACTCATTGATAGTACCCATTTCATTTTCCTGCATGATGAGTGACAGAGAAGAAATTGCAAAATAGAAATATGTGTATATTTGTCAGAGCAAACCTATTAGCGAACCTTGGAGAATGAGTCTATAATGCCCCTTTCTATAAAAATGTGCCAACACCACCAACCTGTGTGCTCTAGATTCCCTGCAGACCACACAGATGGGCCTTTTATCAGTCTGGCAGTACAATTTCAGCTCCTCTCCATGTTGGTCACACTTGCCATCTACTTTAACGGGCTTAGAGGGCGGAGGACAGGACGCCAGACACTCCAGGTCGTCCAGCTTGGTCACCAGGTTCTGTACCAGGTAGTTTTTAGTGAAGGTCCTCTTGGTAAACACCTGCGACGACAAAGAAAGCAACTGATAAAGAGGCAGAAAACTGCTTGTCACCAAGGCCAAGTGAGTATGACGTTGTCCACAGAATGCATCTAGACATTCTGCATTAAAGCACTTGTTAAATAGCTACAGTACAAACACAACGGGTTGTCGCTTCCTTAGCTGCTGATAATTAAGCTTTCAGTTAGCTAACGGTAGCTAGTGCCAGCGAGGCAGCCGTCATAGCAACGCTAGCCTCAGAAATACACTGCGTAACTTTAGATAATATCATGTTTTAAAGACGAAACGTAAACCAGCTACTTTAAAATATTTGTAACCACATCAAATAAATACTGTCACACGTTTTTGAAACTTATTTTGTGAAGAAACACGGTTCAAAATACAGATAACGTGCAATAAGTTACCGTTCGGCATTGAGGGCACTGATAGCCGTAGTCTCCGCCATTTTCATCCCAGTGCATGCAAATGCAAAACCGACAGAAATTATGCCCGCATTTCAGTATGACCGGGTCTTTGAAGAAGTCCAAACAAATTGCACATGTGAGCTCTTTCCTCAGGTCGTCTCCAGCTGCTCCAGCGGTAGCCATGTTTACAAGCTAACAGCAGCAGCACCACACTGCAGGAAGTGAGGAGAATGAGGGAGGTAAGAGGGCACATTTGTGGTGCGTCATTTTCCGTCCCAACCAATCAGATTCTTCCCTCAAAACATTTCCATCACAAGGTCAATATGTGTTCATTAAAAACTGACATATTAATTTAACTTATTGACTGATTCATATTGGCACAAGGATTGACACTAGGCCTCTCTGCATTTAATTGCTGCAACTGCATTTTAATCACAAAATGACATACGTTACATTTGAAAGTGTTCATAAACAACAAGCACCTTGTCCACACACCGACCGCATACAGCTTTCCATTTGCAAATTAAATGTTAAAATTATTCCTGAACATGAACATACATTTCTCCTATCAAAAGACATGGTTTAAGCACTTTCGGTGAGAAATACACATCTATGGGTAGAGAAATATCCTCACTTTTGCATTACATTTGCCTATGAATATATAAAAAAATGTGTTTCATTAGTGATATAAGCTAGAAACAGGGCCGTTGTTATGCAGAATGTTAGGTCTCAAGAGAATGAGGGCAAGTTGCAAATAACTGCTAATTTCCCAGGTCTATACCATTAAAATGTAAAAATGGCTTTCTTTGACAAAGTGCTTTACAGTAATCAAATAGTCAAAGTATATTTTCTACTATTCAAAGCTTGAATGATGCCTGCCTTGGTCTATTTATTATTCATTTGTCCAATAATGTACGTGGCTACAACATGACATTTAAATGTTTTTGTTTTCCATTATCAAGTCAAGTTTTTAGGTCTATGCCATAGACTGTATGCCCTATGCCCTGCTCTATGCCCAGGGGCGGACTGGGACTGAAAATCAGCCCTGGCTATGCCTCGTTTTTTTGTCAGATTCAAGTACTCAAATCTCAAAGTTCTATCTAAATACTAAGTAAATCAACAACAACCAGTAAGCAACCATATTTATTCTTAAATACATATACATAAAAACCCATTCATAAAAAGACACAAACTGAATATCAAGTTTGATTGTTTGTGCTAAAATGGTCATATACATGGGGATAACTGGCTGTGGATACACTACATTGCATAGCTTGGATTGGCATGTGAGGGATGTGACTGAAAAAGTGCATTTGATGTCAGATGTGGTGCTATTTCCAAAATCATCAGAGCGGGAAAATCACAGCTGGGTTTCAGCAGATTATTATTTGTATGAACCATCACATCCCACTGCTGATTCACATTTCAGCAGATTTACAGCTCATGTTCTTCACATCAGCTAGCCCTGATACATATTGGAAATAATGAAACAATGATGACTGACAACACCATAATAAGACACATATTTAGGAACACTGATCTCAGCATGTTGTACAGTTTATCCATAGCAGAGTAAGACACAGGTTTAACAACATGTAAACAAGAAATTTCACCAGTGGTATCAACAAATAACGAGACAGCAGATTATATAAATGTCTCTAATGTAATATTATTCATGGTGACATAACATTTTGTAAACTGCTATTATTTTTGCATCCTTTGTTCGAAAACATGACTCAGAACACTGAAATCCCACACAGCACTAGTGAAAACAAAGCTTACAGGAACATAGTGAGAATGGAATAGGGGTGAAACCATTGAATATGTATGAAGTATTTGAAGCTTACAGGAACATAGTGAGAATGGAATAGGGGTGAAACCATTGAATATGTATGAAGTATTTGAAGCTTACAGGAACATAGTGAGAATGGAATAGGGGTGAAACCATTGAATATGTATGAAGTATTTGCATGTTCACAGCACCACACTTATTAGCAGTGTATCACAGAAGTGGAAAGTGGCTCTGGAGAGATTCTCTTCAGTCAACAGTAGTAAATTGTGTAACTACACATGGTCCATTGTCTGCAAAAGAAATTACTCCTGAGATGAATGCCTTTATACACATAATCTAACCAGTGTCATCATTATGCCCCAACTACTTTTAATAAATATGATAATATCATAGAAAAAGAGTGGAGCAACATCACTGCAAGGGTGAATTGCAGTAAACAGTGTGGTAACAGAAACAGTGATTAACTGTAAACAGGTAATAAAGTAAAAGAAAGTGGAAACAACCCAACTCAGCAGCAATAAAAAATCCCAATACAATTAACATTCCTCATCATATGGCTAGCAAAACAAAAAACTGTGAATTCATAAAATGGTAAGCTGGTTAATAAACATAAATTCTGACAGCAGTGGTAATTATTACTTGAAGACCTGCTAAGATATTTTTGCAGGTTTAGGTTACAAAGAAGAAACAGGGGGTGGCATCTTGTGCGTATGTTTTTATTACAAATTGTGTTTTCCAGAATGAGGCAAACATTTAAGCTAAAATTGCATGTCTAAAAGTACAGTTTACCCCATTTAAGATTTACTATCAATATGTTTGACTTTTAATCCTCAATATTTGTAGAAAAGTATCCTCTGGCAGTTGATACACTTTTAAGAATTTTGGGAACAGTAAGTGAGATTACAATCTTGGAACCCATCTCCACTTGGAACTATCTCTCGGACAACCCTAAGCATTCATATTTTTTATGATGATTAAAACGAATGTAGTGTAAACACAGAACTTTGCATCCGTAACACATTTGTTAAGATACTAAAGAAGTATGAATATGCTGCACAATGTGCGCAAAAATCAGATGTACCCTTTTCCAAGCTGAAGAAAAGATGGTATTGTTACCATTTATACTTTGGTAGACAGACAGAAGTACCAGGGCTCACACACTTCAGTAAAGATTTGACTGACTCAGGGACAGGTCAATAAGATCTGAGGCTGAATCTGTTCTTTTTGAGACTATTCCTTCCAGTATGAACATTGACATCATCTAGTCCCCTTTACCCGAGGTAAACCTGCAGCACTAAATCTCTGACTTGGCCTGTGTGACACTAGCTTTATGAGAAAGTGCTCTTGGTGACTGAGAGTGTCCTGAAGGAATAAAGCTGCTTCAGGCCCTTAAACACCATAAAGCCAGTGAGTGAGAAAGGACATACCAAGCTACTAGCAGGACAAGTTTGAATGTTAAGTGAAGAGACCGTGTAGGTTTGTCTTCTGTGCCGTTTTCTGTTGCAGTGATCAACATACATAATGGACCCTATACTGTAGAAATCCCCACACTTACAGGAACACACACCCGAATCTGCATAATGATCCATTTCAGATTTTTGGTGTTAAGAAAGTAATTATATACCAGTTTTAAAAAAAAAAATCCCAAATTGTATAAAAGCCCTCACATCCATTTGTCCATCTGTCCATCTATCCATTGCTCAGACCTCCGAGCTGTTGTGGCAGTCTTGCATCCTCACCACCAACATGGGCTCTGTACTGACGGAGCCTTTCACCACCTCCTGTACCTCCTCCCTCCAGCCTTCCTTCCCATCTTTCTGTCTGGATCTCAGCACCAGTACGATGGTGACAATAATCAGGATGGTCAGCAGCAGCCCCACCAGCACCCCCACCACAGTCACCACTCCATCCTCTTCATACTGTGTGTTCAGCTCACTGGGTTCCAGCCCGTTGGCAAACAGCTCATTCGACCCCACCGCCCGGCGCTTGTTGCGATCCAAATCGATGTGCATGATATTAGTACCGCGGTTATTATCTGCTCCAATATCCTCAGTGATCTCTGGGACTTCATCGCCAGCCGATCTCCTGGCGCGATGACTTTTGCCATTAGATGGGGTCAAGGCAAGATCTTTGCTCGTGGAAGCCAAGGAATGGTACTCCAGGCTGCGCTTTCCAATGCCTCTGTGAGCATTCTCTTTGGAGCGGACGGTGTAAATTGTGTGAATGAACCACTCACGGCCTGCAGCAACCTGAGAAAAAAACCCAACATATGCACATCTCAGAATAATGTTCAATTTACAAAATTAGCCAATAGAATTGGTTTAGAGTCCATAACGAGCACATCTTGCAAAAATAATGATATACATACATTTTTGTATAGATGGGACCTGCTGTTGCCTAATTGATTCATTAGACTTTCTGGCAAAAGTCTACTTTAACAGCCTTCAATTGATTACATGTATTTATGATTAAAATTACAAAAACATTGGGGATTAAATCCTCAAAAAAGCCTATTTCCATTGTGGCTGACACAATACAACATTTATCCATAGCTCAAGTCACAGTAAAATATAAACTACCGGTAGTATAAAAACAAAAGTGGAGTAGTAAAGCCTACTTTTCTTTCCTTCATATGGCTTCAACGCTCTCTGGCTATGCAACTGTATCACAGAATGACACATGTTTATGTAAAAAATAAGTAATTGGCCATGAGAAACAGAAGCTGAAGAATACCTGGAACATGGCTGTAGAGTCCACCCTAAAGCCATCAGACCCGGGCTGTCTGACAAGGGACATGGCTGACGGATCATCCAGTGCCAGCACAGCATTAAAACTGACGTCACCAAACACACGTGCCTGAGTCTCTGGCTGTGCTTTGTCCTGTTGAGGTTTGGTGAAAGAAAGTATAACATGTTTTTCCTTTGTTGACTTTAAAATACAAGTAAGTACAAGTAAAACTGAATGTACTCACAATAATCTTGAATCTGTAGAGCAATGAAGGGGAGTCAGCCAGGCAGCCAAATTCAAACTTGGTGGGGTTGTACTTTGGCACATATCCATCCGCACCAGTGCAGAGGAACACCTTCTCTATGCTACAGAAGAAAGAGTCCCCCAGGTTCTGCACAGGGTCCACCATCACACGGCCATAGACCGTATCACCTGACATAAAGAAAGAACACATTCATCCTAAAGCTACACCCAGTTGTTATTATGAATCAAGACAGGAGGACAGACTGTTCAATGGAGGTAAATGGAAATGTATTTTAAGGTCTGTTGTGTTTTTTTTGTATGTTTAACTGATTAACTACAAATCCATGTAAATCACTGTCTCCATATCCGCAGCATGCCATTGCTTTTAAATGTATTTTCTGTTTTCTAATTTAAAAAATGCACAATTTTCAGCATATCGTCTTCATGAAGTAAACCTTGCAAATTGGTTCTCTTCCAGTATTACATTGAGATTGAAATGCTCTTAAAAATAGAAAGGATTTTTTGAGAAGGAATTTACCCTCAGAAAAGGCTACGTCAGTCTCTTGAGCAAAGCCCATGGAGCCATCAGAGAGTCCTCTTGGACAGCAGGAACATCTGAGTGTTCAGGCTGAACTCCACTGCAACTGGATCGCTTACCTAAGGAGGGATGCAAAAAGAGGTATAGGATCAATCAATTTCATTTGTACCATGGACTCATATAAGCAAGGATAACAAAGGAAGCAAGATAACCAGTGACAGACAGAGAAAGAAAATCATCCCAGGACAACATAACTTGTCACTTGTTAGTCTTAATTTTGAAAAGCTGCCTTACTTGTTGGAATCTGATGTCCAGATCGAAGGTAACAGGTTCTCTGGGACTGCAGACAGGTGGAAGAGTGTACTCCATATTCTGGGATGTTGTGCAGGGGATCAGCTTCACTGTATAAGTCCCAGAGTAGTCTCTCACCTGTAAAGAGCAAGGAGGAAAGATACCCAAGTGTGAGTCTGTATCTGTACGTCCAGCTGCTTGAGAGCACAGATTCATTCAGCGGACGTTTCAGGTTGTGCACAAACTAATTTCATCTGGTCATAGATACTCACAGCGAAGTCAGAGGTGAAGGTCCACTGCTGGACCGGCTGGTTGTAGGAAGGCTCACTCCTCACTAAGGTGAGGTTAAAGGTCAGGCCGGGGTGCTCCACACTCATTACCATGGAGGTGGCTTGGTAAGAAAGTTGAGAGGAGGAGAAGTTCATAATGGAGTACTTAATAACAATAAAAACAGGATGTGAATTCTTAAAATGCAAGTAATGAGTAAATTATAAGTGGACAGTAATTCATCTCACCTGCTCTTTGTATTCTGCCTTCAGAATGAGAGTGCACGAACAGACCCCTGAAACGAGCCTTGGTGCGGAAGTTTACCACCAAGCGTCCCTGTTCGTTGATGCGCATGCTTGTTGGATACAACGCACCTGACAAGAAGACAAAAAACACCAGATTAAAAGAAAAACTTTTGTTTTTGTGAATGATAGGCAAGAAGCACAAGGAGACATTCTCGCAGTCTTGAGAGCTTACCCTGTAGCTCGGCCTGCGGGGGGCTTCCGATGCCATCTTTCCAGAGGATGGCTGTGTCGTAAACGAAAGTGAGACGCAGCTCTGACTGCAGGTCGAAGTGCTGCCAGCCGCCCGTTCCCACCGGAGAGTGGAACACGTAGGACACATAGAGAGGCACGCGGAGGGTCACGTAGGACTGGACAAGATTCAGCACCTGTGAGGATGTTTTCAATCGTGATGAGTGAAAAACTGTTCTTATTATAATGATTGAAGTTATAAACAAGAAATCCTCAGTATTTGTGTCAAGTATTGTAATATCTTGTTGGAATAAGGGGTGATTGTAGGTGGATAAAGTATAATAGATGCTGAGAAGATGTAAAAGATCAACACATTATTCTCCTCCACGAGGTGCTTGAACTCTTTCACTCCTACTCAGTGTTTTCAAGGAGTCTTCTGTATTGTACACAACCAACCATAGTGGGCTGCAAAGTGGGCCTGTTGTTCTTTTCTATTTGTGTTTTCTTTGAATCCATTTACTTTGACAAGTCAGCCGGAAAAACTGTTCTCTCCAACATCTTATTCATTCATTTATTTCTCTAACATAAGGCCATGTTGAGATGTATTCTTAGATGTATTCCTAGGTCAGCCACTAGGTGTCTCTGCTCACCAAAATTATATAAACAATGTTGTGTGACTTAATTTGTTTAACTCAATTTTGACTTAAAGTGCAAAAGTTTCAATTTGCAAAGTCAATTACCAAAAAAATGCTGGCCAGGAAATTAATTGAAAAGAGAAACCAAGAAAATTATTTGTCAGAAGATGTTTCCGGTACGCCTCAGATCAACCACTTTTCATCACTTGAGTATATTATAATGAAACATTTTATCTCTAAAATAACATTATAATAAAATGTGCCCCTACATTAATAGTGTGGTGTAATTCCCTTGCAAACAGAGATAGTCTCCACCAAAGACCTAACCCAATCCATCATAATGTATTTCAGTAATTGGGGAATCATTGAAAATATCCGAATGAAGAAATGACTGCAAGCTGAGACAAACTACCTCAGTTCAAGGATTTTACAAAGCCATACTTTCATAACATCCTCCTAAAATAAAGGTATATTGCAAGGATCAAATAAAGCCTATTTTCACAGTGAGGTTCAAAATGATGAGGGTATTTACAATTCCCTTCAAATTATCAAGGTATTTCCTTTTCTTAAAAATTCAACCTTTCAATTAGTGCATGTTCTTCTGAGGCAAAGAGAAAAACTCTGCAGTTATGGAGACCAAATACCAAATGTTTTTTTAATTTAGTTTGGTATATTTTCCGAGAGGTAGCTGAATTATTTAACTATTAATTTTAATTGTGTTCAATTTAATTATAGCACCGTGTTTGAGCTGCAAGGCTCTGACTTTTTCACCCGCTCTGTTAGCACTTATTGGAAAAAAACTAACCGTAACCCTAGTGACAGTGTGACAGTGATCTCACTTAACGAAGTGGACTTGACTTGAGGTATTGTAGGATGACGGGTGTCATGTGCAACCGTGTGCAATCAGTTTTTATTGTGACTGGAGACAAGTCAATTAATTTCTTAGTTTTTCTCCATTTCCTTCTCTCACACACAACAAGCGGCCACACACACACGCAGTCTGATCAACAACTAGAAGCTCACAGTTCAAAGTCTTGAGGAACACAAAGGAGCAGCAGGACACAAGCTAGGGAGCAAAGGGTCTGTCTCCTAATCCACAATAACAACAAGAACCATGAGCATACTGCGGCTCTGTACAACACAAACATTGATTGCAACATCCTCTGCAATGATGCAACAACAGCTACTGGAAGTGTGTTGGCATGTAACTGACAGCCGGAACATAATGTAAAAAAAAAGCTGACATCTATATGGTTTTCAAGGGGCAACCTCTGGTTCTGAAAAGTGAAGCCAATGTGGAAGTGCGTTAAACTTGCATTCTTTCTAGAGACCAGCAGGGGGTGACTACTTGTATAGAAGTCTACGGGGGAATAACTGTCTATTCAAGTCTTCTGCACCCCAGCACATTGAGACATTTGAAAAGGAAGTACTATATAAAAGTAAAATAGATGATTAGGCATGCATATGCTTAAGGGTGGGGATAACATGTGTTTTCATTTTTACTTACAGTGTTTTTTTTTTGGTTTATGAAAGATCATTTTTACATTTTAATCACCTAGATATGTCTAGTTCAGCATTCAGTTGCTCCACCCTGTTACATTGCTGCTAGCGCCAAAAAAAAATCAAAATGGTGACCAAAATGCCAAACTCAAGCTTCAAAATTGTACTTCACACGCCAATGGGTGATGTTATGGTGGTTAAGACTGCTTCTTATGTACAGTCTATGGGTGAGTTCAACTGTAATGCCACCATGCCAGTAGAAGAAGAACTGAGCAAAGCTGCCTGATGGGTGATTTATATTTCCCCTAACCTTGACAGGATGTAGGTGTTCTGAATATATCAAAGACTTCAAATAAAATCACTTCCCTTAATCCCTCTTATGATTTCACAGATTTCCTCTGAATCCATGTTGATACAGTAGCAGTAGTTATCATTATGGCAATGACAGTGGCCATACACTGTTTGAGTGTGTATTTTTCTGTGTGCATATGTTTTCATGCACACAATCACACGCTGCGGCCCAGAGCTGGCAAACACACACACACAAAAACGTGCTGTGAATGGGACATAAAATGTAGGCAAACAGAAATGGGGCCATTCTGTGTGTGCGAGCCTTTCATTCGGCGGGCTGTAAATAGACTGAACATACAGAAAGAGACACACAGGTGGACACACACAGCGCAAAGGCTAACAGTCAAACAGATGTACATATAAACCCTAGATTGGAATGTATATGCTGTGGAGAAATGTACACAGAAACACACACACACACACCTGTCCATCAGTCCCTATGGTGCCTCCGCAGTCAGTGAGCAGCTCAGACATGTGGTAGTAACTGGTGAACTCCCAGAGACAGGCCTCCAGGTTGAGGTTCCTGTAGAAGCGCAATGTGCTGTTCCCCCGCAGAGAGTCGCTGAACTGATACGGCGCTGTGTCTCCGATGCTTTCGGGGCTGCGCGTAGAGGCGGTGATGAAGCTGTGACCGGTGGTGACCTCGTTGTAATCCAGCAGGTTGGAGCAGCGATGGTTCCCGACCCGGGTCCCGTCTGGACTGAGAGTCAGTTCAAAGTTCATGAGAGGGCGAGTCGAGATCACCGGCAGCATTCCTGCAAGGAGAAAAATGTGATTCTGACTGTGTCCAACTATCTTTGATAACTGTACTGAGATAGAAATGTCCAAAAACTTAGTGGAAAGAAATAGTGGAGCCAAAAGTGATTAAAAGAAAAGCAGGGAAGCCAAGGAAAAAATATGAAGAAGAACACCTGGAAGAGACGTTGCAGAAGGAAACTGATTAAAAATCAAGGAGAGAATGTTAAGTGGAGGGTGAGCTGGAGGGGTGCTACAGCGGGGTTCGATACAACTCAGCAGGATCTACATTCTGGCTGTCACACCCCTGAGAATCCACGGACGGGAATTTTACACACACTACATTACACTTCACTTGATCTGTGGCACGTGGTCCTGCCTCCAGCTCCAACCTACCATCGATGTGAGGCATGGTGACAGTCACTTTGATGAGGTTGGGGTGTTTCGGGTCGTCTACTCCAGTGTAGCGTAGCTTGGCAGAGAAAGGCTCAGCGCCAACAGTCCCCATCTTGCGTGGTTGACACATACCTTAACAAGACAGAAGAGCGGAGAGAGATGTTCTGAACACAAGGACACACTTCAAAACGTTGGAGGAAACAAGAAAGACCAGCTCAGTGGCTTTGATTTGAGTAATGTTAACATTTTGGTAATGTCATATTCTGCTGAATAATCGTTTCTCAGTACTTGCCTGAACTATTTCTGAGTCTTTTTTTGCATTTCTTATAAAACATTGCCTGAGAGACTGTACCTGAACTTGTTGCAATCAGGATATATGTATGTGATAAGGATGGTTTTAATTTTCTTTACTTTAGAGGAAAAAATGTATTTTTGACAGTTTAAGTTATAAAGCAACTACCTTTATTAATATATTATCATATTAAGATTTTTACATAGAGAATAAGTGATGATGACCAGACAATTGAACTTTCACATTAATGAATCAGTGATAATCCATTACAGTCACATTTAATAAAATAATACTCACAGGGAGCAATCTTTCATTTTAATATCATTAAGTGATTTAGCTTATAATACCATTTTCAATATTCAAAACAGTAGGTACTTTTCATTCAAAAGCACTATTGCATTCATGCTTGGAGTACAAAGCCCTTTTGGTTCTCTTTGTAACAAGGAGCCAAATCCCTGTCCAAGTCCCCCTCCAGAAAACTGGCATCCCAAGACACGGAGAGAGACAGACGGGTTGTTCTGTCCTCACCTTCCTCCTGGCTGACGGTGATGATGGGGCTGCTGAGCTCTAAACCCTCATCCCCATTAGAATTCACTGCCCTGGCAGCGCACTGGACCCTGGAGCCTGCCTGGAAGTACACTGAGTCCAATGTGATCATCTTGGAGGACGTGAAGAAGGTGTCGAAGTCCACCTCTCTCATGGGACTGGTGACACCATCAGGGCCAGCTGGGGCGCTGATGAGCCAGCGGTAGCGGGTCAGGGTGTTGTTGATGTGCTCGCTGACACAGATAGAGCCGGTTTTGTCATAGTCGGGGTATTTTGTATTGCAAGCCTGAAGGATGGATATGGAGTAAAAGCAGGAGTGGGCGGGCAGAGAGGGACAGCAAAGAGATGGGAGATTCATCAGATGCCAGAGGACAGAAGGAGAACGAGGTGCAGAAAACAAACAAAATACAACTCTTGGCAAGGTGTATGTTAGCTCTTAAAATTGTATTTGAGATCATACAAATATGGAAATAAAGGGAGAATCTTTGAAGTGTTTGCCTAGATATACTTTTAAACATGTTGCCCCTGATGAGGCACTCAACCCTTCAGTTTTTACAAGACCGCTTCTGCTTCATCTGTCTTCCAGCAGGAAACACACACACGAACACACGCACGCACGCACGCACGCACGCACGCACGCACGCACGCACGCACACACACACACACACACACACACACACACACACACACACACACACACACACACACACCCACAGTAGTCATCTGAGAGCCAAATTACTTAACACATCACGAAAATCCACTGGAGTGTCTCACCGACCCTATGTTCTAAAGTGGAAGTTATTCTCCTGTGTGTGAAAACACGAGGACTGTGGCCTACTAAACTGTGTAATGTGTCTTTTAAGGACGGACTGGCGAACTCCAGAAGGACAGCTTAACTTTAGCAGAAGAAAAGTAAGTACGGGTCCTAAGGGATAAAAATATGCCTTCCTCTCTCAGAGGATGTGGGTCTTAGTAAGGTCCTGGTAAATCATTCATTCTTTCCCTTTCCCAGGCGTTGCTAAAGTTTTCTGTTTTTTGTAGAACATGGAATAAAATGCAATACATTTCAATTTGACTCACCGTGACACAGATGACTGGATAGCCGGCTGGGGGATGGAGGTTGTCTGGTGTCCTGGCAACGTCGTCGTAGTGTAGCAGGGACACCACGTTAGGCAGGGAGGGGAAGGTGACATCAGCCATGCTGTTGGTCTCCTCGATGTAAACTATCACTTTAGTTACCTGTCGCGGAGTAAAGATGTGTAAGTCTACTGGGAACTACTGACAAAGTGCTGTTTGGCAATCAAGACACAATGAGCTACTATCAATGACATGATTAAAGTCATCACAGAGCTGGATGTGTTACAATGTAACTCTCTGGCTGCTTCTCTTTTATCTTTTCTCTCATTCCTCTCACTCTGTTTTCTTCTGGATATCATCTATTATTTATTGTGAAATGTTTTCATTACACTCTTTGCTGCAACTACAGTAAAGTGCTCCTTTTGTCTGGGCGAGTACACCCAAAAGAGATCCCTGGTCTCAGTGGGACTGACCTGGATAAGGATGGGTCAAATCAGAAGGAAATGAACAAGTTGTTCCAGCTTTCTTACATTCTCGTCAAGCTTAAATTGCTAAACAGTCAGTGTCAGGGTTTTGTTTGATTTGATGTGTGATGGTTAGGCATTTGTTACCTGAGTTTCAGCCACCATGTTTTCATCAGGCTTCAGGTGGAGAGTAAAGGCTTCCCTCATCTCTCGGACGCCATCAAACAACACCTCCACCTCCACCACATGTTCCTTATCCCCTTGGTTAAACTCAATGTCTGGGCAATCACAAACAAACATAAGCATTAGGGAAAGCAATTTCAAACAGATCAGAAGTAGAACAAGTGTAATGCATCAATGGTCCTGGTACCTTGAGTAATTACTGTTTTGTGAAATATTCAGTGGTGACAAAACATTCAGGTAACATCAAGGCCGGGTTTCTCTTGTGAATTATATATTTAAAAAATAATAATTCAACAACCCAATCCATGTTTTGTCACTTCAGTGAATGCTTAAGTAAAACGCTATGCAGGATTTATTTGCATAGTGCCAAAGGTGTTTCATCTTCTATTGAGGTTAGTAATAGAGCTTTGCATTTCAAATGTGCTGCACTGAGACAATATTGTGCCAAATGGGAAATACCACACCGTATGATTCAAAACTGCTGGGAAAATTTGAACAGTGGGTAGGCAACTATGATTTGAATAGACTGAATATATTCATATAAATATTTCAAACCTTGATTAGGCTGAAAAAGGTTCACTGCACTAAAAGCTGAATGGACGGAGAGAAAGATTTCACCATGCTGACAAAGCACGAGGTAAACTGAAATAAAATTAAAAAAATGACATGACCCTCCACTAGACTATTGCAGAGATTACCTTTGCCCACTTTGGATGAAATTAAAAATCAATGACCCTCGCCAAAATACATCCCTATGCCCACTTTTATTAACTCAAGACTTCTATAGGGAGCCTTGTTTCAAAACTTCTCTTATTACTGTAGCTGCAGCAAATGCATAACAGTAATAAATCAGAATGGTATCTGCGGACCGCAGGTAAGAAGAAAAGTTATGTATCATGTGAATTTCTAATGTAATGGTTCTGTAACTGAGGTTTAAGAAACAAGTTGAACATGTTTAATGTCAACAGCATTATTTTTTAAAGTGCAAATCATATTAACATTCGCTAACCATGCTGGTGATGTGTTAGATCTTTCAGAATGGATCCACTGGTCTCCAATGTTTCCCTGTAACTAAGACACTGCCTGAGATATATAAAATGTTGTGTGTAAGGTTTACCTTGAGACACAGGGTAGTAGTCCTCCCCTGAGATAGCAGACCCATCTTTAGTGTGAACACGAACCACTGAAACCTTTGATGTGTCACCCACTCGTACCACAGGGATCCTAACAGTTGCCACGGTGCCGGCTTCCTTCGGTTCACTTACGCTCATCTTGGTTTCCAAAAAACGTATGATTGGTTCTGGGGTGCACAGAAAGTGAGATATGTGTAATAAAATGTTAACACAGCATGGACATAAATCACTAATTATCACGTTAATTAATACTGCTGGTCAAAATTACAGTTTTATCACGTGTTCAGGTTTATGACATATGTTTTATAGTTCACCAATTCACATTATAAAAAACTGGATAACCTGCTTTTTATTTATTCTATATTTCATGTTTGACTTTCCTCCCCCTTCTCATATAACTTACTGTCAGCTGTGTCCTTGATTTTCACCAGGGTCTCCTTCAGAGCTCCCACTGATGCTCCAAACTGTGAGTCGCTCTTCGGGTTTCCTAAGACCAATCGCAGCTCTTCTCCTTCCTCGTACAGCGTGTCATCAACCAGTGACAAAATACATGGCTTCTCTGCCTCTCCTAGAGCAAACAGCAAGATGGGGATGACAGGAAATGTAAAAAAATAACTCAGGTGGATGTAGCGATAGAATCAGCTCTCAAATCGTTTTTAAAATTTTTTTTACAGCATATTCCAACCTATTTATATAACTTGAAGCCACGTAACATTAGTTCAATTACTCTTGAGTTTTGGAAGCTGTTTCCACATATTGTGTTAAAGGAAACGCTGAATATGACAGCACGACGGGTAATGTGTGGAAAATAGATAAACTTGCAAGCTCTTGTGACATCTGCAAGGCACTGCTGATTTAAAAAAAAGAATGTGTGAAGAAAAACTGTTTATTGTTAAGAGCTGTTAGTTGAATTCAAATAGCATTAACTCTCAAGACACAAGCTGAATAAAAACAAAGAACGAGAGAAAATACATACTGACATACTTATTACACAGTATATTACACTTACTGTGATTATGGAAATACCTGGTAGGAAAATAATTATAGATGTTTCTGTGTTGGGTCGCTCATCAAAGTCGGAGGCGACCTGTGCCGAGCCCTGACGGGTGTAACAGCGCACCGTGGATCTGTGTGTGATGTCCCCGCTGCGGTACACTGTCGCTGTGAGGTGACCATCGCTCTCCTCTCCAGAGTACACCGGCTCACGAAACTGGACCTTCGGCACTGTCAGTCAAAAAGGTAGTTCAATCACATATGAAAAAGCAAGTAATAATGTTTCCTATGCTGTATCACCTGAATTTAATGGAACCTCATGATTTAAGAAAGCAAATTAAATAACAGAGATGTCACACACATTTGTTTTCCGACTGTTGTTAAGTTGTGTTTAGTTGATAAACTGAAGTGTGTAGAAGTCTGACGATAAAAAACAGACAATGGTCCTTTGTCTTTCATATTCTATGCTTAAGGCAATTATCTTAACTATTATTAAAAAATGTATCCATATTGTGCGTTTCACCAAGAAAAACACAATTAAAAACATGCTAATACATAAATACAAGAGTCTACAGCATTGCTAGCAGCTTTGAGACTATACTTTGGCACAGCGATGACTTGAGTTAAATGCTAACGTTAGGAACATGCTCCCAATGACAATGCTAACACAATAACCGCTTGAGTTTAGCGTCTTAGCTAACAATGGCTAACTAGCATTAAACAGAAAGCACAGCTGATGCTGATGGGAATATTATAAACCATAAAACAGTATTGGACAAATTACAATTTTGGTGCTGGTGTTAAGTAAACATTTTAAATTCACCAAAGTTATTTAAATTCATCCTGAGGGGGACATGAAATTATAACAAACACATCAAGTAGATTTGAATATATTTAGCAGGATATTATCATCAAACTCATTTGGATTCATCTCCTCGGCACCATGGCTGTCTTCACCTAATACAGTCAAGGCATTTAGTGTCGCAGCTTAAAGAAAAGTATGGGAATCCCCCCTTTTTCCTCTGGGGCCCATGAATGTCTGTTTTAAATTGTCAGGACCTTCAACTGAAATGAGGAGAGGATTTCATAAAAGATTAGAGGTAAACAAAGTCTCTCACAGTCAGACACAGAGTCATTGATGAAGACTGTAGCCATCCCAGGTTCCCCCAGAATGCCGTTCACTGGCATACGGAGGACAAACTCAAAGCTCTCAATGCCCTCCAGCTCTGGTTGTCCCAGGTCATCCAGAATGGTGACTCTGAAGGTCTGCATGCTGACGCCCGGGGCGAAGTCCAGGTTAAGACTGATGCCCACGTAGTCAATACCGGCTAGAGGAAGGACAGAGAGGGGTTGAAAGGACGGGAAAATGGGCAGAAGGCAGTGAGATCTTATCTGCAATTTCAAAGATTCCGATCAATCACAAGCAACACTTTTCTATTAGCGGTGTATTACCTTCTGCAGAGACAGGCTCGGCCTTGCGAGAGCGCACGGTGGCGGAGGCCGTCTTGGACAGATCTGTCCCCGTCCTCCACACTTTGACCTCCACGTATCCATCACTCTCATCCACATGATACTCCACCTCTCCAAAGTAAAACACTGGAGCTGTAGAAAAAGGGAAAAAATTAATGTGAAGCATTTGTTTAATCTTTTATAATCCTGTAATTTTGACATGAATTCCAGACTGATCAGTTCACATTTGGTCACACGTGAGTTAACCTTTTTATTGCTCCCTTAATTATCTCATGTTGCTTTGAAACTTAACTCAAACTCCATCTCATAATTTCGATTGACACTGTTATTCTACTTTTTGTTTAATGTTAACATTACTTGTCTCCTCTACTTATGAGTGCACCTGTGGTAGCATTAGGGTTTTCAGAAAGCCACCCGTAGTCTGACAGGATCTATTTGTAAAGCCAGCAGACGGACACAGAGGTCAAACAGCGACAGCCCATTAGTCTGAAGTTTAACTGCAGGGGAGCGCGACCTTTCAACCTTTCCTGGCCTCTCATCCCACCTCATTGTTACTATTCTTTTGACGGAAACCACTAAGTACTTTGAACAAAAAAAGACCAAGTTAGCACTGAAAAAACAAGGCCTCTATATTTGCGTGCGTGTGTGTGTGTGTGTGTGTGTGTGTTTGTGGTGTGTCTCTTTCTCTGAATGTGGTATAGTGAGACGGTGAGACATAGAGAAAGCAGCCCCCTAGGCTGCTCAAAGGTTTGTTTGAACTGGCATTGTTTCCTGAGGCAGCAAAGTGGAGGGAGTCCAATGTGTATTTGACAGCTTCATCTCTCACAAACCCCCCCGTCAAGTCCAAAAAAACTGACAGAATAAAAGTTCCTCTGTCTCCCTTTTAAGATGCCACTCACTCGCACATGGCTCCTTTCTTTTATTCTGGCATATAATCCAAAAATAGAATGCGTAATCACATTTTTTCGTGTGGTGATCAAACGCTTAAGCAGAGTTTTATCCTTTCCTGAATATTTCTTTACTGATAGATAAACTTTTTATATACTTTATCTGGGCCAGATGACAACACCTAAGTATAGTGTACATATGCAAATAAGGACATTTACTGAAGTTACATTTTGAATCTCACTTGAACAGCGCCAGTGACAGCTCAGGGCACAGTGAGTCTCACATATCAAGTGCAGCCTGTTTCTTCTCTTGCTATCAAAAGACTCAATGCATCTGTCTGTTTCTAATACCCTTTACTCCCACGCACTTGGTTACACACTCACAGATGTTGCACTGGTTTGTGATGCAAATAGTATTAGAGTATTTGCACAACGGCACAATAAACGGAAAATGACAGATGGTGTAGGTGGGAAAAACTCACCATATTCTCTGATTCATTATGTGGGCTGGTAAGTGTTTTTGTTTAATGAGTATTATTGCTTTAATGCCTGCCTTTGTAGTGTAAACATGTAGCATAACTGTAAATAATATGTAAGCAATCTGGCACACATTCCTTTTATGCCCGAGGAGGAAACTTCTGCTTGAGTGCTAATATACATGTCTGAAATCACACATGTCCTGACTGCACCCGGAGACGACAAATTCTCGACACCACAAGAGGGAATTGAGTGATGACTGAGGAGTGAGAACTGCATCCTCTCTGCCCTCTGGGAACACGCATGTGGTTTAGCACTCTGAAGTGTGTGTGAGGGCTGGGGAAGGTGTTGAGCCAAATAGTGATAATTACTATGTGTGGGTGTTTGTAGCCATTTGTGTGTCACTGTGCTTTTAAATACAGTTTATAGAGCATTCTCAGCTGTCCTCTAAAAAAGGGCCCTTTTTGAAGGAGATGACTAATAAAATCCTACAAAATTGTCTTGAAATATCCCCCTGGAGCATGTGTTGTTTTTTTAAGTGATAAACCTCCCATTGGTGCGTGGGGTTTGTATGTTCTGCTACATATATCATGCTAATTGTTTCTAATCTTTCTTAAAAAGGGTTCTTTTTTATTGTGAAATTATACACAGTTTTATTGTTTTAAGCCTTTAAAACACATCTACCATTTCTTTGTTTCTCTTAACATATGCAACCGAGGTGTCACCAGAGTCTGCAAGTAAACACTGCTTTACTTTGTTTTTGTTTTCATCCGTGGGTAAAATGCAAGCAGGTAATGAAATGAGTCAACATTTTGCACTTTAGCATTTAGAGCAACAAGAAACATTCATTTGTTTCTTATTTAAAGTGGACCTATTATGCTATATTCGAAACATATAGGGCCATACCTATACAAAACATATCTGTGAAGTTTTTTGCTTAAAATACCAAACAGTTCACCCATTGTAGCATGCCTCATACTGCTCATACCCCTTTTTTGCAGCCCTGTTAGACAAACGCAAATTTTGGGTCCTTAGCTTTAAAAAAAAAAAAAAAGAGGAGGCGGAGCTAATGCCTGATCAGAATTCTACCGGAGATAAAGTTAAATTCTGCTGTGATAAAACGCCATCCTGTTCGAAACCACATCAAAGATTATTTCTGAAACAGTATGGAGCTCAAATGCTTTTTCTCTTGCAGGTTTATCACAAGGTGAGTTCCTTTTTTTATTTCCTGCTTTTTAAACACATGTGCTCTCCAGTACAGGTTAGCCCTGAGTGTTAGCGAGGCTTGCTAATGTAAACAAGACGAGATTACGTCCAAAACAAATCTGTATCCGCTCGTTGTACACCCGTTTTTAAAAGATTTGGGTATGGAGGAAAAGAGAAAGGGTTTTATTTTCTGCCGCTGCGTGAGACACATACATACTTATGTATAAAAGACATCAAAAAGTGCATTTTGCATGATAGGTCCCCTTTAAGTTAAGGCTGATGTGGAAATCATTGACATATGTATTTCCTTTCTTCTCCTTTTCATATTGAATGTGTATTCTGTATGTAACAACATTAAAGGAGTTTAAGGAAAATATTGAAAGAAAAAAACGTTCTTAAAGTTTGCGGCGTATATGCTGATTGAGGAAATGAAATGTAAGTAAGAAGATGGCATGATTGTATTTTAAACATTTACAATTGAAACACTTTTAAATAATGGAATGGGCTTCCAATAATGACAATAGGTAAAGGAGTGTGAAGTCTGCAGTAATATTTCTCCAGAAGTGTTTCAAAACCCAGCTTTTTTTATCTTCAGCAAAGGCATAATGTACAAACGAGCAATGGGCAAGCAATTCTGCTGCTTTGGGAGTGTGGCCAACAGAAACGCTGCCCTAATATTGAAATGAAGGACTGGGTTTCCAAAAAAATACTCAGAGCTAATCTACAATTTTACAAACTCAGCTGGTGCCATATGCACCCGACTGAGAGAGACTGAGTGTCCTTTCTCCTTGGTATGGTGCAAGGAGATGACAACGCTCACTTTGAGTCAGAGGGTGCAGCCATGCGGAGCACAACACTCAGGGAGACAGGTACTGTAGAGTTTAATCTGGTAAAGAACTAAATCTAGCAGACACCCCTGGATTTTTTGGTGAGAGAGAGGGGGAGAGAGAGAGGGTGAGGAGTGGGTAGTGGAAAAATAGATGGAAGGAGAATGGTGGACTAAACTTGACTCTAACCTGAGGGAAGGAAAAATGGGGCAAGGGAGAGCACTAGCAGTCACACTTGGAGTTTTACAAGTGCTTTTTTTTTTTTACCACTTACCTTTGATGCATGATTTGAGGTCTACCGTTAACACACACAGACCCACACACACATAAGCATGCATGCACAGCAGACCACCATACACACGAGTAAACACAGAGCATTATAACTGTTGTTTCTTCCCTGGCTGTTGTTGTTGTTGTTGGCTGCATTAAAGTGAGGAGGGTGCCGTTATTAGAGCACTGTCAGACACTGTATTGTCCTCTGGGAGGCAACAAATGTCCTCTCTCACTGGAGTTGGGTTTTCACAAACACATTTTCCATTCCTTTGAACTTAGCACTAAGACTGAAGTGTTCTGATAGTATACTAACAATCAGACAGTGTGTCATGTTTCTCGTTAACTAGCCCCCAGATGCCTTCATGCACACACAACCAACCACACATATACACATTCAATTTGGCACAATTGTTTGTATACATAAATGAGTTGTCTTCGGTCTGACACTGGCATGACAAGTCCTCTCTGACACAAATAATTGATGACATGGAAACTAAAAGAGAAATACTCTATATATGTAAGGAGACTTAATTTTTTCAAAAGATATTTAGTCATTTTAACTTCCCCCTGGCACACACACAACACGTTTTTATGCTGAAGAAACTTGCAATTCACTTTTTTACTTTTCCCCCCTGACTAAATCCAGTCATAATTTAAACCAATATGCCTGAATTATTACAAACTTCTGATATGACTATTCTCCTTGCTCTAAGTATGTAACACTGCCTGATGAATTTTTTATTTTGGATGGCAGTTGAAAGTAGACAACTCTATCCCACTACATAATGACTCATAGTAAGTTCAATTTCTATTGAACAAGGTAAGAGAGCAGTAGGAATTATGTAAAAATGAATTCAGGGCACAGCTAAATTATATATTATAATATAAAAAGGTAATTTACACTGAGTTGAACTAGATGTAGGTCAATTTAATCTTCTTCCACTGTTGAAAGACTTCTATGACATGATCTATTAGGTCTTGATATTATCATCATCAACCCCTTTTTCAAATTGCAGGAATATGACCAAAATGTATTACACAAGTACTCCCTTTTACTGTTACAATGCAATTCAACAAGACACCTGGAGCAGAAACATTCATCCTTTCTTAGTCTATTAAGTAAATCAATGCAGAATATGGAGATAATGGAGAATGCCTGTATATTGCAATAAGTATTCCCCAGCTGGCTTATTCATCCCTAGATAAAACCTCTGCTTGTTTCTATGCCTGTCATGAGATGTAATCTGCTTTGTCCATACAATGTTGTAACAGGATAAACAAAGACCAGGGACATACTGTAATGTTGTCCCAATGGACCCCTGTGTGAGTCCCGACATTAATTAAAATTCCCTGAATGACAGCGAGACAGGAGTGTGATTCCCTGTGTCTGCTGCGGGTGAAGAGACTATGTCAGGGTGTTTTCAACATGCCTCAACAGCCTGTCTGTAAACAAGCTTAATTAGGAAAATATGTGACATGAAGACTCTGAAAGAAATACGCCAGAACGTCTAGCAAAGTGGCAAATGTGTGTGTGTCAATATTATGTTTTTTAACCTTAAAGACCTAGACGTACACATCAAACTGATAATTCTCCACCTTTCTTCATCATAATCTTTCCTCGGCTATAACATCGGAAATGAATAGAACTATAGGGGCATGCCTTACCATCATTCGTGTCTTCCAAGATGTTGACTTTGGAGGTGGGGTAGTGCTTTCCCAGACGCCCCCCGACAGGCAGTGACAGAGTGACGTTGAAGCTCTCTTCTCCCTCGTACAGAGAGTCGTCGATAACCACCACGCGACACTGCTTCTCCCTCTCACCCTTTTCAAAGCGAAGGACGCTGCCATGCTCCTCCGGGCGGGAGATGAAATCCGAGTAAGACAGGACGGTGGTTGGAATCGTCCCTGAAGCAGAACCTTCACAGGGACCAGAAAAAGAAGAGACGACAGTGACAGGAGTTGTACCTCTGCTTGAGGTACAACCTTTTCCTTTAAGGGAAACATTTTATTTAAGTACTTATTATTATATATATTTCAACTAATCAAATGTGAAAAGTAGTTGAGTAAATTTGAAGGATGATGCACACATCGGACTTACAAACAAACATTAATAAGATACAAGTTACAAGATACATTTCCCCTTTCTGTTCCTGTAGTCATAATGGCTGTAACCATAATGGTGTGTCCTTTAATTGGCTCTCATCACGTCATTGTTTCTGTTTAAATGCTAGAACACAATAGGAACATTCCATCCTCGCAAGTTTTCTCAAAATCGAACCTGTNACAGGGTGAAAATTAGAATTAAACGTAATAACTGTGTGGAAAAAGTTATCATAAGGGCCTAAAGATGAGAAAACACAATGCTTACAGGACTGTCTCAGAAAATTAGAATATTGTGATAAAGTTCTTTATTTTCTGTAATGCAATTAAAAAAACAAAATGTCATACATTCTGGATTCATTACAAATCAACTGAAATATTGCAAGTCCTTTTATTATTTTAATATTGCTGATTATGGCATACAGCTTAAGAAAACTCAAATATCTATCTCTAAATATTAGAATATCATGAAAAAGTATACTAGTAGGGTGTTCAACGAAGCACTTGAATCGTCTAATTAACTCGAAACACCTGCAAGGGTTTCCTGAGCCTTGAAAAACACTCAGCTTGGTTCAGTAAACTAAATCACAAGTATGGGGAAGACTGCTGATCTGACTGCTGTCCAGAGGACCGTCATTGACACCCTCCATCAGGAGGGTAAGACACAAAAAGAAATTTCTCAAAGAGCAAGCTGTTCACAGAGTGCAGTTTCAAAGCACATCCACAAAAAGTCTGTTGGAAGGGGGAAATGTGGCAGGAAACGCTGCACAACCAAGAGAGATGACCGCAGCCTTAACAGCATTGTGAAGAAGAGTCGCTTCCAGAATTTGGGGGAGCTTCAAAGACAGTGGACTGAAGCTGGAGTCCAGGTATCAAAAGTCACTGTTCACAGACGTGTCCGGGNTCCTCCCCTCTGTCTGTCTTGTCTTACAGCCTGTCTGTCTCTCTTCACCACCTGTCTGTCTCCTACCACCTGTCTGTCTCTCTTACACCTCTCTGTATCTCTAACCACCTGTCTGTCTATCCTACCCACCACTGTATGTCCTCTCTTACACCTTGTCTGTCTTCTCTAACGACCTTATGTCTCTCTTACCACCTGTCTGTCTATCTAGACCACCTGTCTGTCTCTCTAACCACTGTTTGTCTCTCTTACGACCCGTGCTTATCTCTCTAACCACCTGTCTGTCTATTAACCCCCTGTCTGTCTCCCTTACCACCCGGTTGTCTCTCTAACCACATGTCACCTTGGTCTATCCCCACCTGTCTTCTCTCTAATCCACCTGTCTGTCTCTCTTACGCCCGTGTGTCATCTCTAACCACCTGTCTGTCATATCTACCCTGTTCTGTCTCCTACACCGTCGCGTCTCTTAACACATGCGTCTACCCTGTCTGTTTCTCTTTACCACCGTGTCTGTCTCTCAACCACCTGTCTGTCTCTCCAACCTTGTCTGTCTCTCTACCACCCGTGTGATCTCTCTAACCACTGTCCGTCTACCACCACCTGTCTGTCTCTCGAACACTTTTCTGCTATCCACGCATTGTCTGTTTCTTTCTACCCACCGTCTGCTCTCGAACCACCGATTGCTCTCTGACCACCTGTCCGTTTATCCAACCCACCTGTCTGTCTCTCGACACTGTGCTCTATCCTCTCCACCACCTGTCTTCTTCTCTAAGCCACCTGTCTTCTCTCTAACCACCTGTCTGGTCTTCTTACCACCCGTGTGTCTCCCTCTAACCACCTGTCCCGTCTATCTAACCACCGTTCTTCTCTCTAACCCTGTCTGTCTGTCCACCAACCACCTGTATGTCTCTTTTAACCACTTTCTTTCTATCCACCACGCTGCCTGTCTCTCTACCCGTGTGCTCTCTAACCCCCTGTCCGTCGGTATCTAACCACCTGCTGTCCTTAACCCTCGTCTGTCTATCCGCAACCAACCACCTGTATGTCTCTTAACACCTGTGTCTTTCTATCCACCCACTGCGCCTGTCTCTTAACCACCTGGTCCCGTCTATCCAACCGACCCTGTCTGTCTCTATCCAACCACCTGTATGTCTCTTTAACCACTTGTGTCCTGTCTATCATACCCTGTCTGTCTCTCTACCCACCTGTCCGTCTACCGTAACCAACCTGTCTGGTCTGAGGTGGTATTCATGCCTGCTCGTGCTGTTTGTCAAATACCTGACGCATCGGACTCACTTTCCTCTTTCCTGTTGGAGCAGGAAGACGGGTCTGAGCTCCCACAGCAGTGCAGGCTGTTCAGGATGTCTCCCTGTGAGTGACCCTAAACCCTTTATTATTAATTATTATTATCTGATGTATTATGATACAATACGGGGTCCCGCCGGGCTGTTTGTGTGTCGGATGTGTGTGTGTGTGTGTGTGTGTGTGTGTGTCGTGTGTGTGTGTGTGTGTGTTGTGTGTGTGTCGCGTGTGTGTGGTGCTGTGCTGTGTGTGTGTGTGTGTGTGTGTGTGTGGTGTGTGTCTGTAGTAATGCAGGCTGTGTGTGTGTGTGGTTGTTGGTGTGGTTGTGTGTGTGTGTGTCGTGGTGTGGGTGTGTGTGTTGTGTGTTCTGTGTATGGTGTGTGTACTGTCGTAATGCAGGTGTGTGTGTGTGTGTGTTGTGTGGTGTGTGTGTTGTGTGTTGTGTGTGTGTGTTGTGTGTCCTGTCGAACTGTTAGTAATGCAGGGTGCTGTTGGTGTGTGTGTGTGTGTGTGTGTGTGTGTGTGTGTGTGTGTGTGTGTGTGTGCTGTGTGTGTGTGTACTGTATATGCAGGTGTGTGTGTGTGTGGTGTGTGTGTGTGTGTGTGTGTGGTGTGTGATTCTGTGTGTGTGTGGTTGTTCTGTGTGGTGTCTGTGTTGTGTGTGTGTGTGTGTGTGTGTGTGTGTTGTGTTGTGTGTGTGTGTGTGTGTTGTGTGTGCTGTGTGTGTATGTGATGTTGTACTGTTCATGCAGGTTGTGTGTGTGTGTCGTTGGTGTGTGTTGGTGTGTCTGTTTGTGTGTGTGTGTTCTGTGTGTGTGTGTTAGTGTCGTCGTGTGTGTGTGTTGTGTGTTGTGTGTGTGTGTGTGTGTGTGTGTGTGTGTGTGTCTGTAGTAATGCAGGTGTGTTGTGATGTGATGTGTGTGATGTGTGTGCGTGTGTGTGCTGTGTGTGTGTGTGTGTGGTGGTTGTGATTGAGAGTTTGTGGTGTTTCGTGGTGTGTGGTGTTGTGAACTGTTAGTAATGCAGGTTGTGTGTGTAGTGTGTGTGTGTGTGTGTATGTCGTGTGTGTTGTGTGTCGTACTGTAGTAATGCAGGTGTGTGTGTTGTGTGTGGTGTTGGTGTTGTGTGTGTGTGTGTGGTTGTGTGTGTTGTTTGTACTGTGTAATGCAGGTGTGTGTGTTGTGTGTGTGTGTGTGTTTGTGTGTGTGGTGTGAACTGTTCGGTTATGCGGCTTTTGTGTGTGTGTGTGTGTGTGTGTTGGTGTGTTGCTTGTGTGGTGAACCGCGTGCGGCTAGCGTTGGATGCCCGGTGGCCGGCGGAGGATGTGTGTGTTGTGTGTGTGTGATGTGTAATGCAGGTGTGTGTGTGTGTGGTGTGTGTGTGTGTTTCGTGTATTGTTAGAGACCTTAGCAAGTATTGTAAACGTATATTATACAACTCCACTTTGTGTGTGTGTGTGGTGTGTGTGTGTGTGTGTGTGTGTGTGTGTGTGTTTGTGGTGTGTTGCACTGTGTTGAGGTGTGTGTGGTGTTTGTGTGTGTGTGGCGGTTAGAGACCTGATAGATCCAAGCCCTCCTGTTTTAATGTATTCCTTGTACTGATGCTCATGCCTAACACCCTCCTTTGCGTGTGTGTGCTTGTGTGTGAATGATGTGTCTTTTACGTGTGTGTCCTGAATGGACTGGTAGTCTGCCATTTAAGTCAGGGCAGATGACTGTTAGTGTGTCATCTCCTTATTTCTTATAAATGGTAAATGGACTGTACTTATATAGCGCTTTATCCAGTCTTTAAGACCCCTCAAAGCGCTTTACATACTACATGTCATTCACCCATTCACACCCATTCATACAGAGCAGTGTACCTTACTCTAGGACCTAACATTCACACACATTCACACACCGTTGGCCATGCCATCGGGAGCAACTCAGGGTTAAGTATCTTGCCCAAGGATACATCGACATGTTGACTGCATGGGCTGGGATCGAACCCACAACCTTCTGGTTGAAAGACGACCACACGCCCTCACAGCCACAGTCGCCCTTTATGATGTTAGGATTTCTTTGCAAGTACAGTATGATAATCCAAGGAACATAACATCGGTTTAATAATGTATCATTTACATCTTACTTTAATATGTGAATAAATAACAGGTGGTGAAAAACTATTCACTTAGAATTTAATGATACACATTCTCCATTTAATGTTATCAGGCTAAACAGCAAGTTGGTATGCAGGTGAGCTACACTGAGGATTAACTGGTTCAATGAGGTTAAAAAAGGTAAGTATATACCCTGCTGTGTGTAGCAGACCACCATGAGCTCCTCGCTGATGTCTCCACTGCGGTGTACCGGGATGAACAGCTCTCCAACATCTTCCTCCACTGAGTGGATCTGTGCTGGGAAAAACACAGTTGACTCTGTTGGGGGAGAAAAGAGAGTGGACAGAGTCAGAGTGACAAAGGAAAGGGTAATAATATGTATAACAATCTGAAAAAACCCACAGTACATCTGGGGCATCGATACAGAAACAGGCTTTTGTTCTGGCTCTGCATTAGTGAGCTGTAGCTGAATTTTTGTTATTCAGATGTATTGCAGTGGTGGTCCTGCGGTGTGCTTATTCATATTCAAAAATAACTCTCCATCACAGTTTTTGGGTTTGAAGCAACGAGAGGTTCTCTTCAAAGAGACCCCTGTGGAAGTTTTTCTCCCTGCCTGGTGTGACGCTCACATTTGCACATGCAAGCCTCTCAGAGGACTCAGCTGGAGGTTTGGACACATCCACTCCCCCATACACGGTGGGGTCAGAAAAACATCTTTCTCATTGTTTTTCTTTGTTTCTTTACCTCTCTCTCCATCTGTGAGAGGGCTTTGTGATGTAGAGAGAGACTTAGAGCGGGTGAAAGCATCATCTATCAAAGCAGAGAACTTACTGGCATAATAGAAAGTCAGAGTTATTTTCCACAGACGCACAGGGACCAATAAAAATACTAGCAGAGTGGACTGAGCTCGTCCCAGATCTTTGACTTTGTTCCCCCTACCGTTTTCTCTTTGAGATGAATGAGTGAATGATGGGGGCTTCAGGCCACTTGTGGCTTGATTATGCAACATAAACTTGCACAAAAATGGCAAGCACTGGAGTGTGAACAATCAGCAAGAAAAACAGATTTGGATGTTTGATTCAAGAACCAGCGAGAAAAGAGATCAGCACCTGAGATGACTCTTTGGGATGGAGTCATCAACATAGGACAATCTTATGCACCGCAGGGGGTCAAAGATGTCTCTTCTCTTGTGATAACTCTCTCTAAATTGTTCTCTATCTCCTCTATCTTCTCCCTTTTCCTCTGTTTCTCCCTTCTGTGGCTGCCCACAATCTGTTACTCCCCAGGGGGTGCAGAGACTCATAGCAGGGGATTAGGGTTCACTGCTTGCCTCTCACTCTCACACACACACACACACACACACACACACACACACACACACACACACACACACACACACACACACACACACACACACACACAGCTATACCCTGATTTTCATCTCTCTCTACACATACTGTATACAGTACACCTCCTCTCCTAATTTTTCATTCAAATTTCACCTCACACTTGGCTCTTCTAATGCCTTTAAATCCACCCGAGAATTAAAAAAGCAGTTTTTATTTTGACAGTCGAGTTCACGTCCTAGAAGGAAAACACACCTATTTTAAATCATTTATGGGAAGATTAAAAAAACATGCTTTTGCATTCTGTGTTGAAATAGTAAACACTTGCACCTGATCTTGCTGTTGTCTTGCAATTTCTTTTCAATTATATGCCTAGAAGTTCTCCATTATTGATGATTTCATACTTAATCATTTCTTTCACAGTGAGCAGCAGCAAACACACAAATTGCTGTCCTCTGATGCTTCCTACATTAGTCAAGAGATTTTACATCCTAACTGAGACAAAGCTCTTATATTTAATCGAGGATGTGCTTGACTGCAGCTGGCCTTTCGATCTCAGACCAAAAATGCCAAAGCATAAAACAGTTCTTCATCATTAAGTTGAATAACCTTGGTACAACATGCAGCTAACCCAGCTCGACTGGTATTTAGTGTCACTGCTATAAAGGATGCTAGAAAAGGATAACTGACTCCAGCAGGATGCTGGTGCTGCTTGCAGCTAACAGTCAAACAGCCAGCTGCCTGCTACCTTCATCTTCAGTCAGCACTGTGCATGGATTATATATGAAAAAAGCAACACAGTTTTGTAGAACGCTTGGATATCACACCCTGTAATTAAACCAAGCTTGTGTCTGCAGCAGCAATGAAAGTGTGTTCACCACAGGCAGCCGCGCTACAGGACAAGCCCACTCCTCGTTATTAATTTAAGGAGCAACAGGCTAATACAGAAGGGCAGTGGAGGATACACATTCTTATAACAAAAGCAAAAACAACAATACAAAAAAAGAGCTCCAGGCATGTGTGCACACAAACACGGACTGTCCGCGCTGGTAGAAGAAATTCTGCTTTTTTACGCTCTCCTTAATTTTGAAACTTTTTTTTTTTTTCAAAGCGTAGCTTCTCTAAAGCTATTAACCCAGCTGACATATCCTCTAGGGAGAGAGGGTTTCTCCAGGCCAACCAGAAGACCAGACAAAGCCAGTTTTCATCATTAGAGAAAGAAGCTGGAGTACAGCTAACGCCACAGGCATAGCTAAAGCTTCACTGGCCCATTAGAGTACAGATTGCCACATCTCTGTCACATTAGACAATCCCTGTAGATGATAGAAAACAAACCAGCTCCTACAGTCCACACACACCATAATTAACCCACAGGGGAGGAAAGACTGAGGAAGGAGAATGTGAGGGGGGAGAGAGAGGGATAACGAAATGGTGAAAGAGAAAGAATGATAAGGCAAATGAAAGAGGGAGAGTGATGAGAGCAGCTGTTGCGTGAGTCACTATAATGCAGGCTTCGGTGTATACATATTTGTCGCTCACCTATTATTATATAAACGGTGGTTTGAGGAAGGGACCATGCATTCAAAAGCTGAAAGTAAAAGCTGCATAGGAGTTAATATGGTCTTGATGGAGCAGAGCAGCGAGTTTGTCGCACTACTCAATATTCCATTAACATTTAAATTTGCAGGCAAAGCAACAAAGACAGAGGACGCTGAAAATGGCATATTATAAACTTTTTTTAAGAGAGAAAGCAAAAGGCTGAAGTTGTGTGAGATTTTGCATAAGACACTCCTGTGCAAACCTTTTGGCGGTTGACCGACGTTCACAGCTTAACAGCAACATTATATTAAGCTTGCATTCTTTGAATTGGCCTGAGGATAATGGACATATAAATAAACAAATACCTCTGCAATTTTGCTGAATTGGGTTTTAAAATTAAGCATTCGGTATTTCCAGTGAGTGTAAAAACTGGAAATATGTATCATCCGTACCTCATATCTCACTGTCTGTCATGTCATATTTCTCTTCTTTGCCTCCATAGATTTTGACATGACTGTATATCTGCACTAGACAGCAGTTATATTGACAATTCGTCATTCTGTGTGTGCCAAGTTGACTGATGCTTCACACAAATGTGATATACTCTAAAGGCCTGTGTATTTTTCATTGTTGTCTAACAGGAATACTTGAGTGGCAGTTGGGATTTTGTGTGGTGTGCATTATAAATGTCAGAAACTTCCCTGTCTCTGTTATATTTGTCTGGTGGGGTGTGCAAAACCCTCAATATGGTCTATTACCTTTTTTTCCCAATCTTATTGTCTGTCTGTAGAGGCACTTAGTTTGATCTCGATTTTTAATAATGGATTTCATATGGAATAGTGACACTAATCTGAATAACAACATCATTGATGATGGAGAATACAGAATTAATCAATACAAAAAAAGTTCTCAATGCAATACAATCCTTTGTAATATGTTTGTTTGAGTCCATATATGAACCTAAAACAGAAACTTTGCAACCCTCTTGTATAAATTGGATGCTGCCAAAACCTAATATTCTCCATCTGTATTCAGTCTCCAGAAATGGTTACTTCCAGGACAGAATAAACGGAGATTATTCTGAATAAATGGGCCAAAAATGAATTAATGCATTTCAGCTTCATGGTCTATTGCGATATAAATGTGGAGAAAAAGCTCCATCATACGTTCACAACAATACAATATTCAGTGGTCTCCATGTGTGTACTCAGGGTATGATATGCAGGACTGACCGTCACTAGGATCCAGGATCTCAACTATTGCTGTGTCGGGGAACTCCATCACCCCCATCACCGGCTCCGAGAGCAGAATCTGGAAGGTCTCCGCCTGCTCGTACTTCCCATCAGTCAGTATCCGAACCCTCCACGTGGCGGTGGTCTGCCCCGGGTTGAACTGGACCTGCCTCTGGGACTTACCCTTGAAATCCTCGTCCTTCTTCGCGCTACCATCCTGGGTGCCAATGCCTGAAAGATAAAGAGAGCGATAGTCATCAAAAAGGAAGAGGAAAGTGGAACAGGCCAGATTGCAAGAACAAAAAACGGAAAAGACAAAAACAGCAAGAAAGAAGTGAAGACAAAACAAAGACAGCGACCATTAAAGGGTGACAGGCAGAAGAGAGAAACAGATGAAACACAGATAAGATATTCACACCCTTTAATGTTGTTCAGAGTGGTGTGAAAAAGAGCGCTGCGTCTATATTTCTTCACTGATCACTAACAGAGCCTCAGGAATGTGTGAAATGAATTTGATACTGAAGCGTTTAAATAAGCATATCCCACCTTACCGAGATGGATTAGCTACCATGGTTGTTGGCTATGCATGCAAATGTGTGCGTGTGTCTCCTTTTCTCTTCAATCTCTTCCTATTTCATTTATAGTAGGCCTTTCATGTGGTTCTACTCTACAACGATCCATCTAACATTGATGCTCATAAACACACCTTCTTCAAAGTGTCGGAGCTCACTGGTACCACTGGGTTTCACATCAAACGCACATCAAGGAAAGCCAGGTGGCAGAAGCCATACAATAATGTACATTTGGAAATGAGCTGTTCACATTCCTTTGTTTGCATTCACAGTGCCTCACAAGAACAGGGTGAGCAGAGCTATGCCAGGCTGATGCTTGTGACTGTACATATGAAAGGATTTGTTTTCCCTTTTAAGACACACAGGAAAAAAAGAAGGTGACAACGACAAGCAGATGAGACTGGATACATTATGTCTTACACACAATTAAAAAGATCTGAGTATTGTGTGGAAAAATTAAGCTGACAATACACGCATAAAAATTCACAGAATCGATTTGATTATATCTGAAGCAGGGATTTCATTTGATCACAATGCCATTAAGGGTTTTTTTGTGCTAAGTCCTGCCTTTCTGGGTTCCTTTTTGTGTTCCCCGATAGTCACACCAGCAGACAATAATGAAATACTGAACTCGCACATTTGATATGATCAGTAGCCGGCAGCATTTCAAAAATATGAAAGGCATTTTTATTTTTCAACTGTCTTTGCTTCTGTGCTTTTATTTTCACAGGACGAGCTAACGATGCTGCTATTGCTCACTGCACGAATACAAGACAAAAAAAATCAACGTCCCTGGGGGTCTGTAGAAAGTCTCTCTGGGAAATCTGAGCGATGACTAATGGAAGTTCAATCAGGACTACCCATGGTTCACTTGCTGAGTGGCCTCTAATCTGGGTCATGTTGTATGAGGTGCATCAAAAATGTGAATTTACAACACCTTTAAATAGCTGCGTTCTTAATCAGACCTTTTATATTTAACATCAAGGAGCATCTTTAGTGAAGAAGCAAACAAAACTGAACTCCTGTTTCTCACCTAACATGACACTAAAATGAAGTTTAAGATGTTTGACACATTCCCAAGATATGATTCAAAGTGTTTATCCTCTGGTAGTACATTTTCTGGCTATCTGCCATTTCTCTTGCACAAGTATACACTTAATCGGTCAATAAATAAAAACCTAGACCGTGACTATCGACAGCAAAGTTCATGGAAATGTGTGTCGAAACGGTCTTGATATCTTCGTGTAGACCAGAGTCAAAATCCAAACATGCAAGAAGTTTATATTTTTTTGCAGAGGATCAATAAACTGAGAGAGAACTTTTAATAGCCGACTCTGCCACTATCAATGAAGACTGCTTTAAAGTATAGAGAGGCAATTACAGACGACTCATACGCATGAAATCTCATATTCTTAGAGAAAGAGTTATATCTATCCTGACAATCAATTGATCCATATCAAATAGCACACACACACACACACACACACACACACACACACACACACACACACACACACACACACACACACACACACACACACACACACACACACACGCCAGGAAAAAGGAGTTTTGATCTTAAGAGGGTCTCATCCAGCCACCTTTCCCCGACTCCCTGGAGGGGAAGGACATGCATTGCCTGGCATTGCCTGGGGTTCCTTCACAGCTGGGGGGTTTCATCCAGCCGAGGTATTTTTATCTCTAAGATTATCTTCTTCAACACAGTCCCTTGTGTTCTTTTCCATAACACACACACAAACTCACAATACTCACACATTCTGTTCATAGCTGCTACAGCTTTCCTTTCTTTTCTTCTGTATTGTAGTTTGTTTCATTGATGAAAGCAACATCTGCAAACAGTTAAGTTTGGCTGGATCTAGTTTATACAATTCATCATGAAGAGTCGATTGTAGGAAAGTGTCGATTGTAGGAACCATCATGCTCATTATACCATAACGGTTATTCCTTATCAAAGCAGCTAAGGTGGAGATTTTTAAAAAAGAGATTCAGAGGGGCAACACCTTCTATTCTCGTATTAAATTGTCTCACCTCAGTTCGGCAAAGATAATGAGGAATTCAACCTGGGGAATGTAAACCTTGTTAACAATCCTCAAATTATTTCTTTGAGCAAGGACTGACCAGAAAATGACACAAATAACTATCTTAAAGGAGGACATAGGCTTTGACATAGGCAGGGGGAAAAAAGGAGGATGACCATTCATCTCTATCTTGTTTCCCTATGGAGTTTCTCAATACTCAACAGAGGAAAGGCAAAAATGAAAGGATACATTTGGAGAGGATGAGTATCTTGGGGGAAATAGAGCAATAAGATGTGACTATACCAATACACAATAGGAGAATAACCAGAGGATACACACTGCAATGGTTGAACACCACTTGCAGATCGCACACAAGGAAGTGGGAAAATAGAAAGGGCAAGAACAGTTGGCAAACAAGTGGTGCGCTGGAGTGAGACAGACAGGAGTGAAGAAGGTAGATCCAAGACAGACAAATGACAAACGGTGAGTGGGTGGAGGAAGAACGCTAGAAAGCCTATGGCACAGACCGAGTGCTGTAAGGCAGTAAGGGAGGAGGAAGAAGCGACATAGTGTCTTTGATGAGGAAACGCAGGTTAGAAGCAAAAGGACCTATGCGGTAAAATGAGGTGAGAAGAGATTAGGGATGAAAAGGAAAGAAGGTAAAATAGAGGAAGTGGATGTGTCAAAGGAGATTAAGTTACAGGATGGAATAAAAAGGACTCAACCGGTAATGGGAGGAAAAACACCCATGACTAAAAAGCTAAAGGTTGGTCTCATCTTCGAGAGTAAGCTTGAAAACAGGGGTAGAAGAATCCAATCTGATCCGATGCGCTTGTCCAGCCGTTTCTGCAGGAGCTCTGCTTTGCAGGGGCATTTCTGAACCTTGATCTTATCTCTGCTTCCCTCCTTCACTGATCCTCTCCCCACTTCCTGTGGAGATGAAGCATGTGTAACAGCTCTCCTCCGCAGTTGACTGGCACAGCAAAACTGCTTTCATCGGCTAACCCTTACAACTAAGACAGCAACAACATCGCTGGGTGTTTTTTATCCATGTTTCCATACATGACACATGGCCTGTCTGATCTAATGTGATCTGTCTATCTACCTGTACGTTCAGCATCAACTTTTTTTTCCCTTTTTTACTTCTCTCTTTATTGCTCTGATTGTGTAGTGTTATTATTATCTTAGCACACTTCACAAACGGTTGAGAAATATACCTTGAGTAAAACAGCTTCGAGGGAGTGAATCGACCTGATTTAAAACAAACTAGTTCAAACTGAATTTTGAAAAATCACAGCCAATCCCAACCCAAACCAGGTGCTTCAAATCGGTTTTGGGCAGAGACTTAATCTCTGATCATCTGTATGTTTTAGATCTCATGTTTACTTACAATCAACAATTTCGAAAATGATGCACATTATAAATAGGGCTTTCTACAAAATCCTTCACGTAAAGTTATTGTGTAAGAAAGAATACAAATAAATCGTTAAGGTTAGACGAAACACATGAAAGATGAACACAAGGAGAGCCGTAACAACACTGACTCTAAATGAGATATGTGCTAAACACTGTCACAAACTACACCCTTATATAGTGTTCAATTGACACCAAACATCAATCCAATACAGCCATTACAGTAGGGGTATTGGATTGTATTGTATGGTGTTCCTGTTATTTTGTCCACCCGGAGTATATTGCCACTCTGTTATTGGTTCATTTGCTCCATTCTTCTGTTCACCAGCCCAGCAAATTGAAATCTATGAAAGTTATTAGACTTCGATCAGTTTCTGTTTTTCATTCTGTGTTGCCCTAAACTAGATTGTATTTCATCATCAGTGCCTGCACGGGTCTACACTAGGCGGAGAAACACACAGAGATACATACATAAAACGTACATACACTCTATTTAAAAAAACACTGTCAGGGTGAATTTGGTTTAATTCCGTGTTTGAGTGTATCCAACATTCTCCTTGTGCTTAAAAGCAAATATTCCCTCTCTTTAACTTCTGCCACTTAACCATGAATATGCCTCAGCCCAAAATCTTGTATCTACGTCCGCCTTGAAGGAAAGCACTTTCACACTGATGCATTTCTGTCTACCAGTCATTCATTCAAAAGGAGGTCTTGAAAGTCAATGTGTGAGCATGTGTTGTGTGTGAGGTCAGAGATAACCAGGTGCTCACACACCGACACCTGTGCAAAGAGATGAGAGTCTAAACGCAAGCTTTCATGTGTGCTCAACAGATACACTTCCCGAGAGGAATCACATACAACATTCACACGTGCATACACACAGGTAGATAAGTCTTAAAGCTTACATCAACTGCTCCTCTGTGATGCTACCTGACCCGGCGATTAAAAGGGATCAGAATGATGATGAGAGAAGGGAGTGAGTAAAAGCTGCTTACTGCTGCTGCTTCTCTCAGAGCGAACCAGCTGCAGCACGACAAAGTCAGGGCCAAGAGGAGCGTTCAGGGACAACACCAGCATCATCCTTTTAACCTTTGCATCAGCACAAAAACTCGTAAGCACTTACATTGTGGGTTTCCTACATTAAATCACCTCCATCTGCTGGTCAAATAACATATTGAAAAGTATGAAATCCATCTTTGTGTAGCTGTCAGGATTGGAGATTTGAGCGGCGCAGAGCTAGCAGCGTGTTCACTGCCCACTCTGTGTTTTGTACAGTAATGAGCGCTGGGCTGCAGCCAGAATGATGATGACTTTGTTTTTAAGTTTGCTGATGAGCCCACTGATTGTTCTGTCTAAATATGTAAAGTGTCTCATTCAATTTACAGCCTCGTATGCTTAAGGGTAGTCACTGACATCTGACTAAGGCAAATTAAGAACTTAAGATCGTTGATAAGCTCAATTTAAAGAACAAATCAGTTCTAATTTGGTATACAATGTAACAGATGCTAAAAAAAAATTGAAGTGCAAGACTCAGATGATGAGCATATTGCACAAAGTCAAAAAGTACACTATGTTTCTTATTAGGTAAAAGTGTGAGAGTATTTAAATGTGGTCTGATCGTACTTTCATTACAATTGTTATTATAATTAGGGGCATGATTCACCTACTACCTGAACTAGCTACACAAAGTCAACTAACTTTGCCTCCTGTGTATTGTCAAAAGAAATTCTACACACTGAATAAAATGCAACCAACAACTAGGTTTTGTGCATGAGAGAGAATTAAGTGTACAATGCTAGTCAAACTGTAAGCAGCAGTTAGCCACCATTCACCGCTAAACGATTGACTGTTGGTTTTTTGTGTTAGAGCCCTTAGGGTCCTCCGAGGAAAACTAATATAACAGATCAACACTCATTCATGTTTACAATCCTGCTTTACATAGAGACAAGGAGATGATGATGTGACAGTTCTGTTAATGGTGACACTAACGATGTCATTGTATCACTGACTTGATCTAAGCTCAGTGGTTTCACAGCCGTTAATGCTCTTTTTCGATGAGATTTCTTTGAGTATTTTGTTGTATCCACGGCTTGATGCTTTTTTCTTTGACATATTTCTTTGGATGCCAATTTCATATCCTTACAGTGACAAACCATTTGCCCATCCACAACAAATATGGCTTGCTTCAAAACTGTATTTTAGAAGAAATACTTTCCATGACATTGTTTTTATTGTGTGGGCTACTGAAACCTCTGCACAGGGCACCACATAGACCTAAGAACTATCTCATCTAGCTGCCTCAAACTCACAATACAACAAATATTCTCATAAAAGGCCCAAGGCCAGACAGAATTAGAGGAGTTAGAGGATACATCCGGTTACAGTGTGTGTTGAGAGGAAAACGTTGCAATTGCTTTTTGGCTCCAACTGTTGGAAAATACATTTGGTCTCTATGTGTGTATGTGAGAACAGCACTCCAGGTAAAAGATAAGTAAATAAAGCACTGCGGGGAAGCAAATTACAAAATTGTGCACACTTCACCTTCATAAAGCAAACAAGTGGAAAAATAAGGTTCAGGTTGTTCTTTCCCTGAGCTCCATAAACTTTATTCTATGCAAACTTTTTCTTTATGCTTGAAGCACACAAGAAGAAGGGTAAGTAGAACCAACAAAAAGCAGATATTAACACTAATGTAAAGTATTGGAGGTACGATGAAAGCTAGGAAACAGAAAGAGAGGATCAATCAGATATTTCAGTCCAGCCCAGAGTGTTGTGCTGACAGATTGAATGACTGATCATGTTTGCTGTCCCAAGAGCCATCCCGCCAGAACAAAAAGCAGTGAGAGAGACAGAAAAACAACAGACTCACCGATGAAAGAGGTCTCTCCCAGGTATCCTCTCCGCCTGAGCACCACCTCGAGGAACTTGTCCTCCTCGTCCACCACGTAGTACTCTCTCTCCAGAGAGATCCAGGCCCAGTCCAGACGGAACTGCTGTCCCTTGAGTTTGTTCCCACCTGCACAAAATACATAATTATATTAAATGGGACCTATCATGCAAAATGCACTTTTTTATGTATTTTACACATCAACATGTGTCCCCTCTGTGTAAAGAGACTCTGAAAGTTTCAGGAAAAAATATTTGCTCACTTTTTGTCCTGATCCGTTTATATAAAAACCTGTCTGAAAATGAGCTGATCAGATTTTGGCCACTTTATGATGTCATAACGATGTTTTGGCTTGTGTAACCATTAGCCAATCACCAACCAAGGTAACCCCCCCCCACACACCTTATCACCTGAATCTCCTCCTAGAGCACCATTTTGTTCTTTTTAACCAAATATCTCTCAGAGGGGCGTGGCTCCTTATTTTCATCTAAAGTAACAGACAGAGAATCGGCCCTGTTTCAAAAGGGCTGATTCTCTGTCTGTTACTTTAGAGGGGGGATTATGGGATGCTGCAATGATCTGTTTGGTATTTGGAGCCAAACAATCCCGAGACATGTTTTGTATATATCTGAGACCTATAATATATTGATGAAAAACTGTATAATAAGGGACCTTAATACATGTTGTCCATCCTGTTCACTTTCTAAAGATATGTTGTTATTTCTTTGTAAATATTTCATTGAAAAACCCTTATACCTTCCTGAATTGATTAGGTAATAATGACTAAATTATATTTTATATTAAGTGGGAACGAACTGTCACTATGGAAATAATGTGTGTGTTGGAAAGGCTATTTAAGCACAAAAGCGGAGTCCAATATTCTTTTAAAACTCTGAAAGGAAACTATGAGGGAAAATGATGTGACCCAAGGGGGCAATTACTGTAAAACTGTAATGAAGAAGAAGTGTTTTAATTATTTCCAATGTGCACTTTGTTCCCAACACATCTGCTGCAGAATATTTACAGATAAAAAAAGAACACCATACAATATTGTATATTTCTTTATTTACGAGACAATCTTTTTTCATGTGCTCTACAATTAGATTCAATTGTCCCTTGGTTTAACTGTATTTTCTTCTCGCCTGTGCACATCAGCCTGAGGATTTAATGCATGCCAGCCAATCAGTGTTGTTAAGGAGGCGTTAGCAGAGTAAATGATCATGTCGGCGCTTAGCTAATAGAACTTCTCAATAGCTGCCACTCTGCAAGCGGAGAGGCTGGATGATGCTTTGTGTGGGTAATTTACCCACCTGCAGGGGAAAAGCACTGAGTTCTGCCATAATGAAAGGAAATAATGATGGCATTGTAAAACTTGAATAAAAGATAAGGTGATGGGATCTTTTGTGTAGTAATAAACAATGCCTAAGTATGCATGGCATTTTCTGTGAGTGCTGAACTAACTGTCTGAGTGTTTTGCTGGCAGAGGGAAATGAAGAGGTGGAGTACTGTCGCGAGGACGTAATGTGTGTAGGGTGTCAGAAAGGAAATATCACTTAGTTATATTGAGCACAATTTAAAGGCTGTTTCTTAAATGCTGGAGCTGTAAGGTTGTTAAAAGCACATACAGCAGAGCATTTCACCTCCATCATTGTAGAGCTCATGAACGGCAGCAGGGCATAGCTTTTCAGACCTTGCGCAAAAGAAGGTTGTACTGCTTTTTAAATAATCCTGCACTATAACAGTTATATCATAAATAGCATCATAAAGAGGGAAATTATTCCCTGCCCTTCTACGTATGAATATTGTAAGTGTCCAGCTGTCTGTTAGAATACATCTCTTACATGGTGCTAAAACCTAGCAGAGGTGAAAAGTTCAACGCTTCAACATGTTGAGGTGAGGACACATAATATAATCAGAGCTCATGTATCCGCCAAAAAGCCTGTAGGCAAAGTTGACTCTTCACTCAGTGGGTGCAAGTGCAAAATCACACACACACACACCACAGCAAACACTAACAACTTTTCAATCCCAACTCTGCTGCAACCTTCACTTTCATCCCTGATAGTAAATGTAGCATAAGCTGCCTGAGCTCTTAGTGTTTGTGTTTGTGGGTGCATGTTTGTGTGTGTGTACCAGTCCTTATGCGTGACCTCCCTCACACTAAAGGAGCGGTGGACGGACAATAAGGATCTCAGTTCTCATTCCTCCAGCTTTTCAGAAGGATAAAAGACCTCTCACATGTGCTGACCATACCAAAAAGCAGCTTTGAAATCATCCTCAATAGCGCACAATTCAGTTTTCACCCTCTTTCAAAGGCTTTCCCAACAAAAACTCAGCAAAATATGTTTTTCTTCTTTATTTTGACCAATTATGGATCATAGTTTCTACAGAAAAGAAAAAACTCCAAGCAGAGTAAACTTTGATGCTTATGTTTTGAAGGTGGGTTGTGATGTAGGATTTACTTTACATCAAAATCACTGACAGCTGTCCTGTTGGAAGATATTTTTTATAAATGATTATAAAACATGACAGTCAAAAGGGATGTCACATTTAATGGTAAGCACTTTAATATATAATAGCTGAGCCTAGAGTCTCAAACATATGGTCAAGCAAGATTAACTTAGTATTTTTCTAAAGCTTTTATTTTAGGCCAGCAAATGACTGTATTGATCAATCGAAATGCTCAACCTCCCATTCAGCAAAAGAACTCTGATAAATCCACCGTTTGCTACCTTCCCAGCACTGTTTGGTGTTTTACCTATTAGTTCATTAAAAGAATGAGCAAGGTTACCATCCAAATATATTGAATTATTCCTTAAGTGGCCAGAAACACAACTCAAAATGAATTATAATGCTGCTGCTCGACTGGCATTCATTTACAAAGACATTAGCCTTGACCCAGACATATTTTTGTACAACCAAAATCAAACTTTGCAAAGCAGTTATCATACACTCAAAAAGCAACTTCATTTTCCTGTTACAAAAATAACAATGTAGGCTCTTCTCCCACAGTGAAGCAAACCTTTCTCTGTAACCTTCTCTTTTAAAAGATATATCCTGTATACTTTGTCCCTAGGAGAAACACTACACAGAGATACAATCATTCATTCAAAAGCACATAAAAACAAGTCCTACAGACCTTCACATACTGTAGGTTTTAGCATCTGCTATCTGTCTGAAAAGGCTGGCAAAGACTCTCACCCTCAGGTATAGGCTCAAGCCTTTCAAGTCGAAAACTTGAGGCTATGTGATGTCAAGAGATGTTAATGAGTGTTTGCCAAAGTGAGGTTGAAAGTCCTTTTTGATTTTCTAAAGCCGAATCTGAAAACACATTATTGATCTTATGCTAACTTGAGAATGAGTCACATGTCTGCCAAGCCTGTGTGAGTTTGCATGAGAGTAGATGGTAAAGCTTAGTAAGATCCACATTAGGTTTTTAGCATGTAACCACAAATATTACACCATCCAACCAAATCACCATTTCAACCACTTTAATGGTGTTTGCAGCTCTGGACATTTGGAGGTAAAAGTATTTCATTAAGTGAAGCGTGGCAACTTGATGTTTTACACAATACACTGCAAATTAGTTTATGATTTATGTAACAGCCAACTTATTTCCTTCTTTGGATGATAAAGAAATCAGACTGAAAGGCAAGAAATTCATTATACAGTCTGTCAATGGCCACTGCCAGGCACAAGAATATGGACAAAGGAGCCATTCTGTAACTGGAGTGCGACCGCAATTTCAAAATTACCACATTAAATCTTCGGCAAGATGCTTTTTCAAAGTCTTTAACAACCACTTTCCCAATAAGCATAACTCACATTAATGTGTAGCACACACATTGTCTGTCATTGTAGTGTTAAGAGGGTTTTAAAGTCTGGGGAGAGGGTGCCTATCCTTCTTTGAGACTTTTGTGCTCTTGATCGCAGAGATCTGACACATCTACTCTAACAACCAATGCTGCATGCTCAAATTACATTACGAAAAACATCACCGGATAAATAAATTACGTTTTCTTACTTAACTAATTATTTATTTGACAGAAATAAGAGGTCAAGCTCTTCTTTTAAGGGCGGTCTTGACTTTCTCAAGGTTCAGAACTGCATGTCTGGGACTTCACACCAAAAATCAAAGCATATTTTTCACAGCAAGGCGATGCCGTCTGCTGTTCGGTTCATTTACACTGCTGCTGGCGGTGTGGCCCTTCCCTCACTGTTACTTCTCCATCTGCCTTCTGCACTCCTTTGTATGCGAGTCCCCAACTCCCACTGCAACTGGCAACCAACAAACCCAATGATCTCTCGCACCATGGAAAGCTTTCGAGAAACACAGGCCAGAAAGCAATCGCCAAATCTGCTATTTATTCAGTTGGCAACATGCACATTTTTAGAAAGGAAAAGGCACTGCAACACTCTTTCTGTTAAAAAAGATAGCCAGTTGTGTTTTTTTATAGAAGCCCATTGACTATCCATCTGACAAAAGTACCTCTCAAAATAAATTGTGATGTTTTACAAATCTATCTTACTCCCCTTAAGGAATTATTAATAGCCGTCATTTTATCCTGAGAGACGCATGGCAGACACAGAACAAACGATAGGAGACTTAGAGTGTGAGCAACTGGTGGCAAAAAGGATTTAAAGATTGATTGGTTCTGCACTCAGCTATTTCTTTCCTATATAAAGAGTGTGAGGCCACGCTTGAGTCATACTGAAAAAGCAGGTAATTTGACATGTTTTTTAGCGGAAGCCTTATCTGGTATCTGTGTGTATATATGTGTGTGTCCCACTACATGTGTACTTAGCCCAAGGCAATCAGCATGATGCTGGAAATCTCCTGAGGCGTGGTGAGGTATCAGTGGGCTGACCAAGAATTCGTGGCCCTGGGCGAACACGAGTATTAAAAATGCTGCTCAAATCGAGGGTAAGTTGAAGCCAGCGCGTTTGAGCTTTCTTTGTTGTTAATTTGCCACGATCAAGTACATCTTGACTGTCAGGATTGCTGCTATAGGTGTTTGTTGGTAATTATTGCCACTACTCGCTGCATTTGATCAATACCTCCACATGAAGTCAAACCAAATGGAAGAGCAGATCTGGTGTAGGAGTATTTTACACTGTATACTGTATGC